GCTCCTGTACGGCTGGAACAGTTCGGCACTGGGGATCCCTGATTCGCTGGGACGGCTGCCGCTCGCCGTGGCTCGCTCCCGAGGACACACCCGCCTCGCCACGGCGCTGGAGGAGCTGCACACGCACACACACATGACACCCAGGGACACGCACACGCCTTCAGCTGACACACACACGCCGGCCACGCCACAACCCCAGCAGCCCCCGTCCCCCCTGTCCACCAGCCCGGACACAGGTAACACACACCTGCTCCAGTCGGCTCACAGTCATGTGATATGATTGTAGCTTTCTGATTGGCTGTCTCCCTTCTCCTCCTCCTTTCAGGTCTGAGCTCCTCCAGCAGCCTCCCCTCCCCCAGCGACCCCTCCTCACCCTCCCCGAGCTCCGCCTACTCCAGCGGACCCGCCCCCTATGGACACCTCCCCCTCCTCCCCATCATCTCCTTCCTCATCCTCTTCCTCGCTGCCCGTCTCCCCTCCCTCCCCCTCCTCCCTCCCCCTCTCTGCCCTCCCTCCTGTGTCTATGTGGGGGGAGGAGCCGAACGTCGGGCTGAGCACAGGTAACACAGGTAACAGTCTGTTAGTTACTGCTTCCTGGTCTGTGTCCATGCACTGATCGTTATTATCAATGATCAATGTCACAGGTTTGAACCCCGGCGGTTCCAGAGACTCTTCTCTTTACCTCATGGACTACGAGAGCGCCTGCTCCTCCTCCCCCGGACACACACACAGTTACCTGCACGCGGCAGGCGGGCGGCGGCCGCACATGGCAACAACGCTGGCAGAGCAGCTGCTGAGCTACAGCGAGAATGCAGAGAACGAAGGCGAGGAGGAGGAGTACCTGGAGGAGGAGGTGCTGCAGGTACACACACTGAACACACACGTTACTGTTGTCAGGGCAACGGCTCGTACAGGTTATGTTAACCAATCGGTGACTTTAACAAGAGTTAGTTCCCACAGTTGAGACTTGTTGGATTCACTGAACACACTCATCATATATTCAGTAACCACAGTAACCTGTCGCTATGGTTACCTTCCCCACACAACAGGTTGACATGGCAACGCTGGCAGAGCAAATCATTGAGGCGACCCCGGAGCGAATCAAACAGGAGGACTTCCCCAGGGGGGCGGAGTCTCCGCTCAGAGAGAGGCGGGACAACCCGGCCATACAGGACACCTGGCTGGCTACCTACTTGGACACGGTCGACGCCCACACACACTCCCCGCCCAGGTAAGCTCCGCCCACACACACAAACTGTGGTCCAGAGCATCATGCTATGCATCATGGGTATTATGACAAGGCAAAGGCACAAGTATGACTACATATGTGTGTGCACCTGCAGGCGGGTGTGCCCCCCCTCGCCCCTCAGTGCTCTCGCCCTCCAGAGGCTCCGCCCCCCGTCCTCTGCGGCGTGGGCGGAGTTCCTGAACGCTTCGGCCAATGGGAAGATGGAGAGAGACTTTGCCCTGCTGACGCTGACAGACGGAGAGCAGAGGGAGCTGTACGAGGCCGCCAGGATCATCCAGAACGCCTTCAGGAGATACAAGGTACACACTGGAGTACGCTAGTAATGAGGAGTAATGAGAGTTAATGAGGAATAATGAGAGTTAATGAGAGTTAATGAGAGTTAATGAGGATTAATGAGAGTTAATGAGGAATAATGAGGATCAATGAGGATTAATGAGGATTAATGAGAGTTAATGAGGATTAATGAGAGTTAATGAGAGTTAATGAGGATCAATGAGAGTTAATGAGGAATAATGAGGATCAATGAGGATCAATGAGGATTAATGAGGGTTAATGAGGATCAATGAGAGTTAATGAGAGTTAATGAGAGTTAATGAGGATTAATGAGAGTTAATGAGAGTTAATGAGGATCAATGAGAGTTAATGAGGATTAATGAGGAATAATGAGGATCAATGAGAGTTAATGATGGTTAATGAGAGTTAATGAGGATTAATGAGGATTAATGAGAGTTAATGAGGATTAATGAGGAATAATGAGAGTTAATGAGGATTAATGAGGAGTAATGAGAGTTAATGAGGATTAATGAGAGTTAATGAGGATTAATGAGAGTTAATGAGGAATAATGAGGATCAATGAGGATTAATGAGGGTTAATGAGGATTAATGAGGATTAATGAGAGTTAATGAGAGTTAATGAGAGTTAATGAGAGTTAATGAGGATCAATGAGAGTTAATGAGGATTAATGAGGATCAATGAGGATCAATGAGAGTTAATGATGGTTAATGAGGATTAATGAGAGTTAATGAGAGTTAATGAGGGTTAATGAGAGTTAATGAGAGTTAATGAGGATTAATGAGGAATAATGAGGATCAATGAGGATCAATGAGAGTTAATGAGGATTAATGAGAGTTAATGAGGGTTAATGAGAGTTAATGAGGATTAATGAGGAATAATGAGGATCAATGAGGATTAATGAGGGTTAATGAGGATCAATGAGAGTTAATGAGGATTAATGAGAGTTAATGAGGATTAATGAGGGTTAATGAGGAATAATGAGGATCAATGAGAGTTAATGAGGATCAATGAGAGTTAATGAGGGTTAATGAGAGTTAATGAGGATCAATGAGAGTTAATGAGGATTAATGAGGATCAATGAGAGTTAATGAGGATCAATGAGAGTTAATGAGGATCAATGAGAGTTAATGAGGATCAATGAGAGTTAATGAGGATTAATGAGAGTTAATGAGGATCAATGAGGATCAATGAGAGTTAATGAGGATTAATGAGGATCAATGAGAGTTAATGAGGATTAATGAGGGTTATATGTTGACACCACCACCCTGGAAAGTGACAAAGACACCTCGAAATCACATGATCACCATCATAAAACAGCAGGATTATATTTTGAAAGTATAGTTACACAATATAGTTCTGTTGTCAGTTTTTTTAAACATGTTCAATCAAACTTGGTGTAAAAGCTGCTCAGGAATCTGGAATCAAATGAAACAGGATGTTTTATAAAAATGAAGCTTGTTATTTCTTTTGTTGTTTGAGACGGAGGTTAAACTGATGTCACGCTGCCCCCCGGTGGCCAAAGAGGGTTTGTTCATACGGACTCATGTAATGTGTATAAGCTGGAGTTTGCTGTGTCTGTCTGCAGGGTCGGAGGTTAAAGGAGCAGCAGGACATGGCTGCAGCCGTCATACAGAGGTGTTACAGGAAGTACAAACAGGTGTGTGTTACTGTGTGTGTGTGTGTGTGTGTGTGTGTGTGTGTGTGTGTGTGTGTGTGTGTGTGTGTGTGTGTGTGATTGTTTGTGAGCTTCACTAACACTGAACTAACCTGCTGTGTCTCTTCACCATGTCTCTCTCTCTCTCTCTCTCTCTCTCTCTCTCTCTCTCCTCTCTCTTTTTGGCTAGCTAACATGGATAGCTCTGAAGGTAATACGGCTGACAGTAGATGTAGATGTGTAGTCAGAGTGTGTGTGTGTGTGTGTGTGTGTGTAAATTGTGTGTGTGTGTGTGTAAAAGTAGTTAACCTGGTTTATATAAAGTTAATTTCAGCCGAGTGCTGCTGTTTATTGTGACCCCTGAATGCAGCACAATTACCTTCAGGTTCCGTGTTGTGTTCACTGACACTGAGGAGGAATCAACCTCCCTTCTCCACCAACGTTCATCAGGCTTTTATTTTAGCTGCTGTTAGCTCGGCTGACTCGGCCTCGTTAGTCAGTCATCAAACTGTCCTCTGACGGCATCAGACGCTTTATTTGGACCCTGTTTGACTTTGTTGTTCACTGGCTGGGTTTCCCACACATCCTGGAAAACCTGGAAAGGGATTAAATATCCTGGAAATAATCGATGTTGTCCTGTAACATTTGAATTGTATTTTAGCCGCTCACGCAGATTACGTAAACCTTCTTGTCGTCTTCTGTTTCTGACGGCGTCACTAACGGTGCACTCTGTGTCCTGCAGTACGCTCTGTATAAGAAGATGACCCAGGCAGCCATCCTGATCCAGTCCAAGTTCAGGTCTTACTACGAGCAGAAGCGTTTCCAGCAGAGCCGGCGTGCGGCGGTCCTCATCCAGCAGTACTACCGCAGCTACAAGGAGTACGAGAGGCTCAAACAGGCCCCGAGGGGCGCCGCCAGCCACAACCCCAAGATCAAGTAAGAGCTGGACTGACAGTCGTCAGCACCGTAGCACAGTGTGAGGTTCAGGTCTGCTGCCACTGCCTCCTCCAGCAGTGCTCACACAGACCGGGTTCACTACAGGAATGAGGTCTATAGTTATCACCTCTTTCATTAATGCCTCGTCTTTAAGCTCTTTACGTGGACGTGGACAGAGTTCAGTGCTGACTGCTGAATAAATACCAATAATCACTGACAGCAGATATTGACGATTGATCCTTCGCCCATCAGGGGGTCGTTTTTGACGAAGAAACAGGACCAGGCAGCGAGGAAGATCATGAGGTTCCTGAGACGCTGCAGACACAGGTAACACACGCTCTACAGGTGGTTGTCATGGAAACCGCTGACTAATGGCACCATCCATTAAACGACTCGTCTAATGTTGCGTTCCCAGTGAAAGTGAAGCTCGTATTGTCCCTTTAATCTGGTTTATAAGCAGTTTGAGCCTAAAATAATAATATAAACAGATCGAAATGATGCTGAACTTTTAAAATGCTTGTTTTCTGAATGGACTTTGGTTGATTGGGGCTATGCTACGTTAGCTCACAGTAAAGTACACATATTTTCCAGTAGTGTTGACCAGTAGATTAATAACGTTTAATAAGTGTAAAGTGTCGTCGTTGTTCCTCTGCAGGATTAAAGAGCTGAAGCAGACGAGGGAGCTGGAGAGGAGAGGACTGACCACTTAAACCACCTCCTCCCTCCTTTCTCCTCCAGCAGAGAGGAGGAGACACCAACGACTGACTGAGAGAAGAGCAGAGTGACGGAGAGATGCCTTACCCCATGCCAACTCTTTTCTTCTTCTATGGATCTATCTGTCTGTCTGTCTGTCTGTCTCTCCTGGTTGAATGTAGCTGTCTGTCTGCAGCTTTAAGAGCTTCATTGACAGAGCTCTGTCAGTACAGAGTGCGTCCAGTTAAACACTACACTGAACCACTGTTTACATTCTCACTGAGATAACCCCGAGCTTCAGCTGCAGATGCATGCTGGGATACCTGTATCCTCCATTAAAGGTTGTTCAGCTGTGTGGACAATCTCTCCTAGGAGGCAGCGCTCGGGGCACAACCAGCCCGGGAGCTCCTCCGTCAGCCTGTCCCCTCCTCCCACGATTCACTGCTGTCCTCCTGCGAAGGTCGGGGGTCGAGGGTCACAGGACGCTGCGTTTGAGGGTCAGCAGACTGTAGGAAAGTCAGACGCTGTGTCAGATTGTGGAGTTGAAAATGTACATGATTTTAACAAAGCTACTATAAATATATTTAAACACAATCACATCTATAAACATATATATATAAATATATATATATATTCTAATGTTGACTTTATAGAGGCTATGGATGTTTTTATTTATTACAGCATGAACTGTTAATGTGACTGTATGAGTGTGTGTGTGTGTGTGTGTGTGTGTGTGTGTGTGCGTGTGTGCGCGCGTGTGTGTGTGTGTGTACGTACTGCGCAGACTGTAAGGTCGAGTCTTAAGGAACCCACCTGACCTCTGACCTCTGACAAAACAAAGACGGTCCGTTCTAAAAATGTAACATTGTGCAGTTTTAACCGTAACAGCTGAGATCAGGAGGACAATAACAACAATAACAACAACAACAATAACAACAACAACAATAAAACAATAATAATAATAATAATAATAATAATAATAATAATCTTTGTTTCACAATAATAAATAAAATCACGTTTGTTAAAATACCTCCTGCACTGCCAACCTGCCTGTCGGGTATCAGCGAGTACGAGTTCGGTGCACTGACCCGTTATTGGCCCTGCTCTGATGTAACCATGGTAACAATAGCTAACGATGGAGATGTAAAACAGTGACGTGGTGACGTGGCTCTGACCCGTTCTCTGAATGAGTCAGCACCAGACCAGAACCAGGTCACTTTATTGGTACCGAGGAACCAAACATAAAGAAGATTAAAGTGCAAATAGAGTAAACAATAATTAATAAATAATAAATAAATGCAGATTAAACAACTCATTAATCTAAAGCTGGTTTATACTTTGTTCTGTAGACCTCTGCCCAGAGTAAAGCAGTTCCCAGAGCAGACGGAGGTCGTCCTTTAAACTGGACCTGGTTCTGACGGTCCACTGTCCCGTCGACCTCTACGACCTTTAACACCCGAACTAACAGAGACGGCGAGTTCTGGGCGGTCGGTCCGTTCTTCACGGTTCTGACGATGTCGATAATAAATAGATTTAATTTGTATCATTATTTATTTTTGTATCAGATCTGTGTCATTATATAAATATATTAAAATATTGATCCTTCCATCGTAATCAATACTAATATGTGAATATCGGTTGTTCATTAATCAGTCGGGATAAACCAACCTGATGATGTCACAGGTCAGAGGTCACTGCGGGGGTTCCCATCAAACCCTATTTTAGAACGTCAGGAAACGTTTCAGGACAACGGCGGCGGACGAATGCAGCCGCTCTGCTGCTGGAGGGGTTCCCGCCATCGTTCCCGCCAACGTTCCCGCCAACGTTCCCCTCAACGTTCCCATCAACGTTCCCAGTTCCCGTCAACCTGTTTTTTTTTTTTTTTAAAGCTTTTCTTAGGCAGAGACTGAAAGCTGTTGTCACGGCAACCACAGCGTCTAGGACCGAGCATGAGCTTCTGTTTATAACGAGTTTGTCTTTGGCTGAAATAATAAATCTTCCTCCTCTTGCCCCCCTCCCCCCTCCTCTTCCTCCCCCCCTCCTCTTCCTCCCCCCCTCCTCTTCCTCGCTGTTTGCATGAGTTTGTATTTAATTGTTCAACATTTCAAATGAAATTAATTATTCTACAAGTCAGAGGAATAAATCAGCTGTTTGCTATTTGTGTTGGTCCCGCTTCTGTTTCCTGCAACCAGAACCACCAACACAGAACCACCAACCAGAACCAGAACCACCAACCAGAACCAGAACCACCAACAAAACAGAACCACCACACAAAGAACCACCAACCAGAACCAGAACCACCAACACACAACCAGAACCACCAACACAGAACCAGAACCACCACACACAACCAGAACCACCAACACAGAACCAGAACCACCACACAGAACCACCAACCAGAACCAGAACCACCACACAGAACCACAACCACCAACCAGAACCAGAACCACCACACAGAACCAGAACCACCACACACAACCAGAACCACCACACACAACCAGAACCACCAACACAGAACCAGAACCACCACACAGAACCACCACACAGAACCAGAACCACCACACACAACCACCAACCAGAACCAGAACCACCACACACAACCAGAACCACCACACACAACCAGAACCACCACACAGAACCACCAACCAGAACCAGAACCACCACACAGAACCACCAACACAGAACCAGAACCACCACACACAACCAGAACCACCACACAGAACCACCAACCAGAACCAGAACCACCACACACAACCAGAACCACCAACACAGAACCACCAACCAGAACCAGAACCACCACACACAACCAGAACCACCACACAGAACCACCAACCAGAACCAGAACCAGACCTAAACTCCATTATTTTAATGTAAACTGGGTTTTGGTCGTCGGTCTGAGTGTTTAGTAAAGTAATGTAACTATTAGTGTAACTAGTTACTGTTGTCAGGGAGTAATGAGTAATAGATTACATTTTACAGTAACTGAGTCCACAGTGATAAACAGCCTTAGCAACAGTAACCAGGGGGCGGGGCTTAGTGGACCCACGAGACGTTGTGTTATCGCGAGAACAGGAACCGGATGTGGTCCGAACCAGATCCTGCAGGGCTCTTAAATCCCGGCCGAAGCTCCGAGGACACAGACCAGAACCAGAACCAGAACCAGTACCAGTACCAGATCCAGGACCAGTACAGGAGCGGAATGGAGGAGAACCAGGACCCGGAGCAGCGGAGCGGACAGACTGCAGACTCGTCCTCTGATTCTGATCCGGATCCGGATCCCACCGGAGTCCAGGTCGGTGCTCATGACGTCCCGACCTCCCGGGGGTCCAGGGTTCGGGCCCAGGGTTCGGGTTGATGTGGTTTTTATTCCTGTTGTAACTTTTATCTCTGTGATTTCCCGCGCTGCGTGTGTTCTCGCGATATCTCGGAGAACAACGTGATCAATATCCGGTTGAACAGGTGACGTCAGACCCCGCAGGTAAAACCGGTCAACGGCTCAAATCCACATCCGGGTTCATTAGAGGGGAGATTGGACTTTATGGATTCCAATAGCATTACTGATCGACTTTATTGATCCTGTCTGTACAGCAGCTCAGATACAAACTGATACTCATACAATCTATTGGTTATTGATTGATGATCAGCTGGGACTGCGTTTAACTGCACTGATTGTTATTATCAGGTGAATGAAAACATATCACATACATTTATAGAATATATTTATATATAATATATACTTTATATAATATCAATATATAATATATACTTTATATAATATTTATATTTAATATATACATTATATAATATTTATATTTAATATATACTTTATATAATATTTATATTTAATATATACTTTATATAATATTTATATTTAATATATACTTTATATAATATTTATATATAATATATACTTTATATAATATATATATTTAATATATACATTATATAAAGTTATATATAATATATACTTTATATATACTTTATATAATATATATATATAATATATACTTTATATAATATTTACATATAATATATACTTTATATAAATGTCATATTAATACTCACATTCCTCGACGTACTGGCCGAGGAGGTGGAGTAGCAGCCATATATGATTCGAGCGTTTTAATGGACCCTAAACCTAAACTAAATTATAATTCATTTGAAAGCCTTGTTCTTAGTCTTTCTCACCCATTGTTGAGTTAAAACTCAGGAAAAGAGCAGCTGTCTGTCTCTCTCTCTCTCTCTCTCTCTCTCTCTCTCTCTCTCTCTCTCTCTCCCTCTCTCTCACCCCAACTGGTCGAGACAGACGACCACCCACCTAGAGCCGGAGGATCTGTCCTAGGTTTCTGCCTTTTAACAGGCAGTGTTTCCTTGCCCTTGTCTCCAAGGTCTTGCTCATGGTGGTACTGTTGGGTCTCTGTAATTAATGTTAAAGAGTTCGGTCTAGACCTGCTCTATTTGAAAAGTGTCCTGAGATAACTTCTGTTATGAATTGGCGCTATACAAATAAAATTGAATTGAAATTTAAATTCAATTCAATTGAATATATATATATATATATATTATATAAAAAAAAAAAAAAAAAAAAAAAATATATTATATATATATATATATATATAATGTTTGTTTAAAAGCTAAATATCCGTTGTGTGCAGTGACATTCTTCTTCATTGGTGTGTTTTTGGGTGCAGCACTGTTAATTAATTGTTAATGTAAAACAAAGGAAATGTGTCAGATTGCATCATATCCACTGAAATGTCCCTGAATCGTCTCTGATGAACAAACAATATTATTTTGGAGTCATTAAGGGAACTAGTATCAGACTTTTCTTATGAGACGCTAAATAAAATGTGGAGATATTATAGATGAGATTCATTAACATCCCACTCACTCTTTCTCTGTCTGTTGCTATAGAAACAGAGCGGAGGTCAATGCGGTGATAAATCCACGTCATTAAGGAATCAAAAGAGACGCAACGCTGCAGGGAAACCATACAGCTGTGACCAGTGTGGGAAAACGTTCCAACGTAAGAATCACCTAAAAACCCACCAGAGTGTTCACACTCTAGCGAAACCACACATCTGTGACCTGTGTGGGAAAGGTTTCTCTAGAGCCGGTACCTTAAGAATCCACCGACGCATTCACACCGAAGAGAAACCGTACAACTGCGACCAGTGTGGGGCCGCCTTCGCACACAAACTTCACTTCATTGTCCACCAGCGCACGCACACCGGGGAGAAACCGTACGCCTGTGACCAGTGCCCGAAAGCCTTCAGTACGTCAAGTGACCTTAAGAAGCACCGAAGCATTCACTCTGGAGAGAAACGGTACAGATGTGATGTGTGCGAAATGGCGTTCACGAGGCGAAGCACCCTCATACGCCACCAACGCATTCACACTGGAGAGAAACCCTACTGGTGTGATCTGTGCGGGAAAATGTTTGCTCGAGGGAGTATCCTCGAAGCCCACCGTCGTCTTCACACTGGAGAGAAACCGTACTGGTGCGAACAATGTGACAAAACATTTACGAACAACAGTTCCCTTAAATACCACGAACGCATTCACACCACCTCGCTCTGATTCTGATTCCTTTAACTACACAAACATTGCAGCTGTTTTTAAATTACTAGGGTAAGACACGTCTTTAACTTTAGTTTCAGAGTTTCCTCTTGAGGTTTTCTAACTGATATTAGTGCTTTTACTTCAGTAGAGGGTCTGATTGTGCTGCACCCACAGCCTAACTACACTGTGTGAAACCAGCTGAGCCTTAAAGGAATGTGAGTGTCCAATAAACGCTGACTGTGAATTACATGACCATTTATAAGCGAGTGCTGTCTTGTACTGTCAATAAAAACTGTAAGATTATCTCTTAAAACGAGTGTTTTTAGCTGAGCGTAGGAGCAAACTGCAGGTGATGCAAATTTCTGTATTTATTAAATGCTTCCCCTCAGACGGACACAATGAAGAATTCAGAAATATTTTTTAATGAAACTGGGTAAGTGATTTTTTTTTTTTACAGCATCGTTATTTTAGCTTTTCTTGTTTTCTGGAGTTATTTTATATTTTTGTGGAAATTTTGATTTCAGGACTGTTTAGTTTCTTTGTGTTTTATGTCTTCTAACATGTTGAGCGTCTTGGAAATTTATTAAAATGAGCAAATATCTCAGCGATCTTTTGACCGTCCAGTCTGTTTTCTTTCTGGAGCTGTGAGCAGAATTCTCACAAAAGCCCAGTGAAAAAATGTCTTGTTGTGGTTGATAAATACACAAAGCAATGTTAACTGTACGTGTAACAAAGAGTTTCTACTGCTAAAGGGTGAGAACATGTTTTTTATTTAAAGTAAAACTCTACTTAATTTGTTACATTTGGTCAAAATCATGTTCCAGTCAGATGGAAACTTGTTGTAAACTGTCGTCTGTTCACTGGAGAGTACTCAGCAGGAAGTGTCTCATAAACTATAACATAAAATACTAGACCTACCAGTAAATAAATTATAGGACAGTTTGTCAGCCAGTGCTGTCCTGTATTGTCAAGAAAACTCCTGGAAAATGATTTCTTAAAAAGAGTGGGAATCCATTAAAATGTTAACCCATGTCTGGTTGTAAGACGGCTTTACCGAATACCGTCAGCAACAACAGTCCGAGTTCTCTCTGTGAGAACCAGTGGAACCAGTTCAGTGTGGCGTCTTCTAGACTGTAAATAAAGGAGTATTTTATGTTAGTGAATCTTCTCAGCCGTTCACTGACTAAAGAATCCAAACTCTTCAAACAGACAGTCTGTACTGAAGCTGAATGATGTTCATGCTGTTTATAGTCTGCGGTTGAGGTTTACTTTGTTTGTTCTTTATCAGCACTGAAGAGAGGTTTGTATCGGTTAGCCACAACCAACCAGAACAAGTCAAAGTTTCCATCAGACAGCTTTGTGAAACCTACAGAACCACAGCAGAACAACAAGAATAAAGTTTATTGATCCAAAAACAGAAATATTAACAACAGCAATATGCTTACATTAAATATAAAACAGCTGATAGTTATTATTAGATTCTGTTCAGAAATAGAAGAATGACAGTTTAACATAATGAGTAATATCTTGTTCTTGTGCATCCTGCTGAAATACTTTTAAAACTTAAATATAATATAAATATAATAATAATAACTTTTTTTTTTTGCACCAAAAAACACAAATAAAGAATACATAAATGTGAGTTGTTTGTCTGTTTGTAGCTGCATGAGTCTAATTATACTTTAAAGATAACACAATGAAAGTAATGGAAGTACTGGGAGTCTGTGGGGACCAGTTAGAGGCCAGCTGGACATCAGTGGTTGGACTGGTTGAAGGTGTGAAGGTCTACCTCAGTGAAGAGTAGACGACCTCTGGCTCTGCTGGAAACTCTGAACACAAACAAACAAACTCAATGAGAAACAACACACAACAACTTCTACCCTGACGAGCTCTCAGGAACTGCTGACTGCTGTCAAACTCCAGATTCAATCAGGTTGCATTAATATTGAATGAATGTTTAACATAATAAAGACTTTAGTGAAACATCTGTAGTGCTGTCCAATTACAACCTATCAACCATATGTGTATAGTTTTCTTACAGCCCTCAACCCCCCCGTGAAGCTTTGGTGACCCCCAGGTTGGGACCCACTGTTACAATGTGAACCTGGTTTATAGATCCTTGTGTCTTTCATTACTATCACCCATATCTCTTTAAAGGAATCGTTCAACATGGTGGGGAATGATCTTATCCTCTTTCTTTATGAGAGTGAGATGAGAACATTGATATCAGTCTAATGTCTGTGTGTTCAGTATGGAGCTGAAGTCAGGACATTGTTAGCCTAGCTTAGCATAAAGACTGGCAGCAGGGGCAAACAGCTAGCCTAGCTCTGTCCAGCATTCATAGATAAAGAGCAGCGGTACCTCTCATCCTGTTTGTTGTGATGCCTTAAAGACTCCTCTCACTGCGGAGTAAACTGCAACTGAATCAGTGTCTGGAAAACAACATCAGAATCAGAATCAGAAATACTTTAATAATCCATAGCTGCCAACTTTTCAAAAAACCTTGGAGTGAGATTTTGTTGGGGCTGACCAAAATGATGCAGCCACACAAGTTGGTGGCTCAGATATCAGAGAATTGGAATTCATTTGATGTTGTACCAATATTGTACCCTGCATTCTGGTGGTTTGTGGGGAGGCCCAAAGCCGCTGATAGGGGCAGCCTACTGGAGATGGACAATATTGGTTACATTCTGAGAAGCAGACATAGCTGAAGGTTAACCCCCAGGACATTTTGGATTAAGTAGATGTGATGTGATTTTTGGGTGGTCTGCTAAAGATGTGCAATACCTGAACTTATTCTGATTCATGTTCGGCATCATGACTTGTAGGGCCTTCTAGACTTGAGCTGAACATTCAACCAGAAAACTATTGTTGTGCCTAAATGACTGCCTGTATCACAATAAAGCCTTATTCATAGACCAGTGTTTAAGATTTGACCTAGGTACCTGTAGGTTGATTGATATTTTGATTAGAATGGTGTTAAACTGTGAGTAAATAAACAATGCAATGAGCTGATATTTGAGCATGCAGTATACCACAAGGTTAACAATGTGCTCTCCTGCTGCTTGTTATGACAGCTTTCATTTTTAGAAATTGGATGTGTGGCGTGAGTGCGTGTGGAAACAGGCAAAACCGTGTGTCACACGGCGAAAGCGTGAGAGTTGGCAGCTCTGAATAATCCCAGGGGGAAATTATTTTTGTCACAAACTCCAGATATACAAATGTAACCCACAGGATGTGCTGAAGCCTCCCTACACACCCAGAGACTCTGAGTTGTGTTTATGGTTGTGATAGGATGCTTGCGTGGGGAGAGAAGAGAAGCACTGGAGACAGGAGTTCTGGATTGTGGCTGAGACCTGGAGACACACATTGACAGCTTTCACCTCTGGTCCTCTACACTGGCTGCTGGCTCCGTCACCCTTACAGGACAATGAATGAAAACATTTTTTTATAGTTTTTCTTAAAAACTATATTCTAGTGCAAATAAACAAATATATTGTGTCAAAATAATACTCTACAACTAAAAATGATAAATTACAGGAAGTGTAAATTAAATAAGGCACTCTATAAACATATGACTTCATAAAAATAAATTAAATGACTTAAAACAGCAAACTGAAAGAATAATGCTTCATCCTGCACTATTTCTCTGAACAGGTGCTCCACTCACGCACAGCAAGCTAGCCAACATTACAGCCAAAGTTTTCAAAGAAAATACAAGTGTTCGCTTCTCAAACCCTCACCGAAATGTAAACTAACATATAAATTAACACATTAGATCAGTGGTTCTCAACCGGTGGGGCGCGCCCCACTCTCCCGGGGGCGCGAGTAGGCTACAGGATGGGAGGAAAAAAAATCTGATGTTACCGGAGACTTTTGTGGTGTTTGGAGACTGACGTGAAAGCACGTATCACTCTGCAGTTACTGTGCTCAACGAGCAGCGGGTGCTGCCGTGAGCCCCTCCCCGGTCCAAAGCACTCACAGACGGTCAGTCTCTGTAACCTCGCGCAGCAGCCTGCAGTCAGAGCAAAGAGGAGACACACACACACACACACACACACACACACACACACACACACACACCACTCCGCGTCCAGGCTGCAAATGAATCGCGCATGCGCATGGCCGCCGCCGTTCCCGCCCTGGCTCACAGAGCGGGGTTTAAATGTAAATGTTTCTCCAATGTTAGCTCCATTCACTCTCGTCTAGTCTCTTGCCAAGTTCGCTTGTGCCAGCTCTCACTACTCTATCTACTCTATCTATTATCAATCTCTATCATCTTATACTCCAAAACCCAACAGTTTTTTTAAAGACTAATCCCACAAACAGTCTTTTTAAAGATTATCCCCATCTCAGTTATTTTTATGTTTTTAAGTTTATTTTTTAACTGCTAGGCAGTGCACTTAGCTAACCACCCCTCTGTCTTTTTCACCGTGTTGCAACACACACACACACACTCACTCACTCACTGACAAAGGACTACAATCGTCAAGTCTTAAAATAAAATCTGCATTGCCTGTAAAATCGTTATTTTGTTTGTTATTAATTTTGTTTTGTTTGTATTAAAGATCGTGCCTAAGTCCCAACTGATTAGCCCCCGATACTAGTCTCTCAACATAGTCACACACACACACACACACACACACACACACATCGTTACATCATAGCCTAAACTTTATTGAAATCACAACTAATCCACATCCAAATTATTTCAAAACCAACACAAATGGAGAGATTTCTAGTGAGGACCAACAAGACAACCGACGCACCACCAGCTGCAAAAAAGCTTCGAAGGTACGATGAAGCATACCTGCAGTTTGGGTTTACAGTCACAGCCGATCTGAGACCTCAGTGTGTTGTGTGTGCCGAGGTGCTGGCAAACGACAGCATGAAGCCCTGTAAACTAAAAAGGCACCTCGAAACAAAGCATGCTGGCATTTAGGATAAACCAGCTGAATATTTTAAAAGAAAGCTTGATGGCCTCCATCAGCAACAGGCAGCCATGTCAGTGCACAGCACTGTGTCCAAACAGTGTTTGGAGGCGTCGTATGTAGTGGCCAAAAGAATAGCCAAACTGGGTAAACCGCATACAATTGCCGAGACTCTCATTTTGCCGGCTGCGCAAGACGTGTGCAGAATAATGATAGGAGATAGTGCAGCAGCCAAACTCAATGCAGTACCACTGTCCAATGACACAGTCGCTAGGAGAATTTCAGACATGTCTAATGATATCAGAGAGCAACTGATTTCATTCATAAAAAAGAGTCCTTACTACGCGCTGCAGCTGGACGAATCCACTGATATTGCTGGGCAGGCACAGCTCCTCACCTATGTCAGGTATCTGCGGGACAAGACGATTGAGGAGGATGTCCTGTTTTGCCGGCCTCTTCAGTCGCACACTACAGGACAAGCCATATTCAATGTCCTTGATGTTTTTATCCCTAAATATGGTTTGGCTTGGGACCGATGCATTGGCCTGTGCACGGATGGTGCGCGGGCAATGACGGGCCGTGAGCTTGGCCTAGCTGCCCGCGTTCAGCAAGTAGCTCCACTTGTGAAATGGACACATTGAATGGTCCATCGCGAAGCACTAGCTGCTAAAAAAATGCTGGTTCTCTTTGACTCCGTGCTGAATCAATCCGTGAAAATGATAAATCTCATCAAATCACGGCCGCTAAACTCTCGCTTGTTTGGGGTCCTCTGCCAGGAGATGGGGTCAGGGCACGAACAGCTGCTTCTGCACACTGAAGTTCGCTGGCTCTCCAGGGGGCGGTTGTTACAGCGGTTGTATGAGCTGCGAGAGGAGTTGAGGTGGTTTTTGACAGAAATCAAATCAGATCTGGCGAAGCATCTGGATGACACTATGTGGCTTGCGTCTCTGTCCTATTTGGTCGATATATTTGACTGTTTGAATGTCCTCAACCTGTCTTTGCAAAGCCGCGAAACTCATATTTTGCTCCTTGCAGACAGAGTGGACGCCTTCACACAAAAACTTGACCTCTGGCATGGCCGCATCAGTCGAGGGAACTGCGACATGTTCCCTAGCCTTGCGGACTATATCACAGATGCAGGCACGTCACACGATTTCTCCTCTCTATTTCAATCAGCATCTGAGCACCTGTCAGAAATGAGAAAACAATTTGCGACGTACTTTAAGGAGGATTATCGCTCTTTTGCGTGGGTTCGAGATCCATTTGTGTGCACAGCAAACGAGCTGTCAATCAATATGCAGGAACAGCTCATTGAGCTGAAGAGTGACAGTAGGCTGAAGGAACTCTTTACCTCCTGCCCTCTTTCGTCATTCTGGGCAGCACTGATGCAGGAATACCCTCAACTCTGTGACGTCACCTTGAAGATTCTCCTCCCTTTCGTGTCGACATATTTGTGTGAGGCAGGATTCTCAAAAATGACTGCACTCAAAACAAAGTACCGCAATCGTGCACAAATCGAGGATGATTTGAGGCTATGTTTATCAGACATTGCTCCAAGAATTGAGGATCTTTGCAAGGCAAAGCAGGCTCAGGTCTCACATTAACATCGCCTACCTGCAAGCTTCTGTCAAAAATGTAGATGATAGGCCTACTATAAGGCCTAGTAATAATAACACTACTAAACACACACTAATAAAGAATAAATTCATATCAGAGGTCTGGTGCCAATTCCCAATTATAGCAATAGCCTAGTAATGATAATAGGCCTACTTATGATAATAATAATACTAATAATAACAATAAAGCATGTAAATTCATATAAGTATATAGCAATAGCCTAGTAATGATAATAGGCCTATACCTACTGCTACTGATGATAATAATAATAATGTGGCCCTAAAAATAATAGCCTAGCCTAGGGCTATCTATCTATCTATCTATCTATCTATCTATGCAAGGTGGTGTAGTGGGGGTGGCGCCGGGAAGGGGGGGGCCCGACTGCAATGAACCAGCTTTGGGGGGGCCCAGCTTGCAAAAGGTTGAGAACCCCTGCATTAGATGAACATAATGACCGGATGGGTGATTTTAGTTAAGATATTTTAGAAGGATGCAGGCCGCCACTAACACTGCTACCTTACAGGACAATGAATGAAAACATTTAACCAAAATGGCGTCCCGCACGGCATGAATAACCCGACTACGGTGTCACATAATGGACAAACTTCAACATTAGCTGTATTCACAGAGCAATAGAGGGTGCAACAGTGTCATCCTTTGGAGTATTTAGGCTGCTACCTTACACAAACAACATATATTAAAAACTATATATATATATCAAAAAAAGATCAAATGTACAGTTTAATAATGTGGAAAAAAGTCCAAAAAATGATTGTCCGTGTTTGAGGTCTGATTACAGAGAGGGGGTGTCTGACTCTCTGAGTGACATGTATGACACATAGTAAAAAAGTTATCAATATCAGTTCTCATGTTTGGCCAATAGCACATAGACAAGGCTTTCTTGAATGTGCACTCAGCACTGTAATGACCAGAACAGGGGTTGCCATGAAGAATGCTCATAGTCTCTGTGATTAGTGTGGTGGGAATCAGTACTTGATACACAACTGGCTGTCCTGGTGCAGTGTGAGCCTTTCGACAGAGTAAGTCATTACACAGCACAAGTTTAGGGAATTGTCACCAGAGTTTTCTTTGAACTTTCCCTTTTACATGTCTGAGGTAAGGACGTTTGTTTTCCTGTACCCATCTGTACACTTCCGAGAGAATGGGGTCAGACAGTTGTTCAGCTACAGTGTCATTTCCTTAACTAGAAAGTGTGTGTTGCAACAATTCCATACCTGTGTGTGACGGTCCCCTGAGTGGCTCTAATGTTTCCTCTTCCTTTTAAGGCAGCAGGTACTTGTGGGTTGGACCAATCGGCATAGCCGGAAGCACCTGGTCCCGGTGTTTCCCAGCTATAAAAGCCCCGCCTCTCTGGCTGACAGGGGCTCTCTTTCTATCTTATTATCATTGCTGGTATTCGGGTAGTTGTGTTTTAACATCCAACATTTACTTTTCATTATACATCACACTCATGCATACACACACTTTCACCACTGAGGTTACTGACAAACACACCTTATCTTCTGTTTAGTTCTTTTTCAGGTTGCATTTAGGTTGTTATGTTTAAATAAATGACTTAGAATTTGTCTTTTCAACTGCGTCTCCTCGTTTTTGTCACGGCTCCAGAGCCAGGTCGTGGAGCTTGAGGCAGTGCATCCAGTTGGACAGGAGAGGAGTTGCTGTCCTGTGAGGGAGACACTGTTTCTTCTGGAACCATAGGGTCCTCTTGTGGGAGGGGGAATCCGTGACATAGCGTCAGCATTTGTATGTTTCTTTCCCTCCTTGTGTATTTTTGTCCATTTATACAAATCCAACTCCAGAGCCCAACGACCACGTCCTGTGGGGTCATGTGTGACATCCAGTTTCCGTAGACTGAGGAGTGGACGATGATCAGTAATGATTGTAAATGGATTAAACTCAAATAGTGTCTGAAGTGTCTGACAGACCAGACAATGGCCTAAAGTTCTTTGTCATATGTGGACCACTTTTTCTCTGTGCGTGTCAGAACATGACTAGCATAAGCTATAACCCGTTCCTTTCCATTTTGAACCTGAGAAAGCACCGCAACAACTGCATAGTTAGAGGCATCCGTACTTAGAATGAATGGCTAATGAAAGTTTGGAAATGCCATTATTGGAGGGGAGCAGAGTGCATCTTTTAATGTCTGAAATGCAGTTGAGCACTCTTCAGTCCATTCAATCGACACATGTTTTTGTGTGAGTCTGAAGAGGATGAGTGATGAATGCATACTTGTGCACAAAACGTCTGTAATAAGAGCACAATCCCAGAAATGCTTGTACATCAGTAGGTGATCTTGGGACAGGCCACTCACATATACGGTGACTGTTGACTGGGTCCAGTGCCAGTCCATCATGTGTCCCATATACTTCACTGCAGATCTGCAAAAGTCACATTTCTTTGAATTTAGTTTCAACCCTGCTTATCTGAATCGTGTAAGAATTTCTGTCAGGTTTTGGATATGATTATCAGAGTCTTGTCCCACGCATGCTTGTCACTAGCCAACGGGACTTTTGTCTTGAAGGATTTCTTCACGTACCGAGGATTGGATTTCCTCTGTGTGACTGAGACATGGCTGAGTGTTGGTGAATCCAGCGCTTTCACTGAACTTTTACTCCATGATTGCTGCTATTTATGATGTCTTATTTATTCTCCTGTACAGCACTTTGGTCAACGTTGGTTGTTTTAAAGTGCTTAACAAATAAAGTTGGAAGTTGGATGCAAATTATGTCATCAAGATAAATGACACACATTGTCCAGTGGAGACCTCTCAAAACAAGTTCCATTAGTCTCTGAAAAGTTGGTGGTGAGTTTTTTAGACCCATGGGCATCACTTTGAATTGGTAGAGACCATCGCCTGTTGTAAATGCAGTTTTGGGTCTGCAGGATCCATTTCAACTTGCCAGTATCCACTTGACATGTCCATGGTGGAAAAAAACTGAGAGCCAGATAATGCATCCAAACTATCATCAACTCTCGGAAGAGGTTGTGCATCAGTGATGGTAACTGAGTTCAGTTTCCTGAAATCAACACAAAATCTGTATGTGCCATCTTTCTTTTTCACCATGACCACTGGGCTGGCCCAGGGGCTTGTACTGTCCTCAATGAGATTCTGAGCTTTAAGCTCCTCCACCTGATGGTGGATTTCTTTTTCATGGCAGGAGAGGTAGGTAGGCTCTTTGTGAGATTGTGTCACAGCTGGTTGTAATTTTGTGTGTAACCAGGCACGTCCTTCCAAAGTCATGTGAGTGTTGACTGAAAACATCAGAGAATGAGCTTAAAGTGTCTTTCAGTTTCTTATTTTGTGCACTTGTGAGGTCAGGGTTTGAAATGTCAGTCAGTACAGTTGGCTTCGACATTACAGGCATCTGAATGTTGACATTACAGACAGAACTTTCCATCACAGTGTACTCATCTTTGCTGTTGCCAGATGTGGCATGAAAAGTGTCTATCTGAGTGCCACAATATAACATGACGTCCTCGCTGGAGGGGTTAGCTACTTTCACATGGATGGAACCTTGTTCAGCTTTTGCTACAGTCCATGCAAAACCGGTAGTTGAATGATTTGTGTAGTGTGGTTCAAACACACCTGCATAGTCATGAGGCACTAGTCCTTTAAGTGGTACATTAGCACATTTAGCAGTGATGACCATCTCTGACATGGCTGGAACTGTAACTGTAGAAGACAGTGTAACATTAGTTAGTTTAGGGACATACTGGTGTGGGCTAACCAGTGATACTTCTTTGTCATCCACTATGAGAGACATGTTCTGGGTGTTTACAATAATTCCATTAGCATCCAGAAAATCCCAGCCCAAAATCAGTGGTTTAGTACAGTTTCTGACAACTTAAAGAACATGTGTCATTGGCTTGAGGGCAATACTTAAATTGACTAAGATTGAACCAACTGAGTCCAGAGGGTCACCCGTGACACTGGTGAGAGGAAGACACTGCTTTACAATTGGCTTTTTGTGGAGAGCAGTTATAGACATCCTAAAATCCTCGCTGATAACTGAAATGTCAGCTCCGGTGTCAACAAAAGCATGCACAAGAGTGTCCTCAATCACAACTGACACATATCTTCTTGACACATCAATCCCAGACAAACTTTCTCTGGTTAAGTCAGTAGGAGAAGCATTACTGTCTGTATGGGCCTGGGCGAAGACAGTAGTTGGCAATTGGCCCTCATTTTCAACTACTTGTTGATATGAGCTCAGATGATCCAGAACAAGTGTAGGAATCCTGTCTGTCATACCGGTGGTTAGGTGAGTATCGATCATAAGAAGATTCTCTATAGGGATATCTGTCTGAGGAATAGTAACAGCTGTGGCCCCGTCCACCATCAGGAGTGGCGCTCCGCTGACGAGATCTGTAGTCTGATGAGCCGCGTTGAGTGCCTTGTTGCTGGCGTTGCACCTCTAGCTGCAACTGCTCAATTCTTTCTGAAAGTGTCTCCAGTGTTCTCTGCATTTTCCGAAAATCATCTGAGGTGGCAGAGTGGACACTGAGAGGAGTTAAAGACCCATGAAGGTGAGTGGGTGCCAAAGGAGGGACAACAGGTGACACAGGTGCCTGAGAAATACATGGCAGAGTGTTTGGTGATGAAAACACCCTGCTGGCATGATGGGTGGTCTCAATCTGCAGTGCTGTAACACCATGTTCATGATATGGTTCAATTAATTAAACCATGATGATATTATATATCATGTTTATACAATATATTATTATATTAATAATATTGTTATTACTATTATTGTTATTATTATGTTATATAATATATAATATTACAATTATTACTATTACTATTGTATAACAATATATAAGATATTATCTATTGTATGTATATCTTCTTGTATAGTCAAGTATCTATTATACATATGCTATATCATATCTTGTGTGTATATATATGTACATATTATATATATTGTGTATATATATATATATTACAGTATGTATGTATGCACACCTTGCACAGGCTAAATTCAGTCATCATATCATACATACATATTATTATTATTATTATAAATATTATTAATATTATCATTATTTACTGTTATTAACAATACCACTACCATCATGTCATCAGTACTATTACCACCATCTTGCAACTACAACTAAAACTTTGCACCTTACCTACCTTTTTATATTTTATCTTTTTTTATATTGTCTAAGTATTTTATTCTATTGTTGTATTTTATTCTATTGTATTTTAATGTACCTGGCTGCTATAACGACCCAATTTCCCTTTGGGGATTAATAAAGTCTATCTATCTATCTATCTATCTATCTATCTATCTATTTTTCTCCATCTTTTGCGTTTTGTCCATATGTGGGAAAAGCTTCCTCCACTAGTCGGCTAATTTCAGCAGCAAATACTGGAAGAGCCTCACCAGGTAGGCGAGTGCGGGCGTTGACATAACTTTGAAATGTAGACAGATAAGCTGTCTGTCCAAAAAACAGCTTTCAGCTTTTCTTTCACTGCAGTATTGTCAGATTTTGTTGTATCTGGCAGGCTATCCCAGTAACTAAAAGCAGCACCACCCAGACGTGTGGGCAGCAGTTTAGCAAAACTGTTGTGGTATCCGAAGGCCTATACATTTAAGTGACAGTTTGTTATAAGTTCAAGTGATATTTTTGTCAACATATGCAGTGTTAGTAAGACATGAGGTTCAACGTCGCAATTCTTACTATGAAATGTTTAGGCTAGCCTCTCAATGGCCTCTGACCTTTATCTTAATAAATCCCCCATCTACCTGTTTTACCTCACTTATCTGTACAAGAACCAGATGTTTCTTTACTATTTTGTTGAATAAACAATAGACCTATATAAAGCCTATGTTCGACGCATATAGACAGAGTTGTTCATTTGGCTGGATGCTCTCCAAGCTCCCGGGGCTTGAAATGATGCTGAACTTTTTGTAATAAACCTTTATATACAATCAAGACGGTGTCAGCGGACTTCTCTTCAACACATCTTCACATCATCGCTACTTAATATACCACACTGTCTTCATCATAATTAGGATTAGCTTCTACCATTTTGCACCATTGTGAAAAGTCCTCTTTTCCATCTCCCATGAAAACATGAGGAAAATCCCCTTTACAATACTGTGGCATAACATAGCTAGAGCCAGGAGGAAAGGGCAGTTTGTTCCAAATGTTACTGTGACCGGTCATGGTTAATGACACTGACCACCTTTTAACTTGCAGAGGCACAACTCTTCAAAAGTGCATTTAATGTTCAACAGTCTGAGCTTTGCTGACCTAGGGCAAGTCGGCTTTGAGGTTGTAGTATTCAGAGAGACACGTGAACAACTTTACCGTGCGACCGTCCCACGCAGACAAGTTCACCGGCAGCACTCCAACATGAATCCGCGAAGAGCAGGAAAAAAAGTCATGTCCACCTTGCAAATCTGTTACTCCCATATATTGTCCTTTTGATGTTATCTTGCTGATTACATGTCCGACAGAGTCCGTTTTATTCCATATTACACCGTGTCGCTAGCTTGGCGTTAGCTTGTAGCAGAAGTCAACGGTGAGGAGAAAAAAAGAAAACAGCAGCCGTCGTTCAGGCAGGTCGCTCGTTAATAATCTGCAAAAATTAGCAGTCATCAAACCCGCTGCCACCAGTGTAACGCTGGTTACTCTTAGCATTAACTATAACTTGATGGTTACTATATTAACTACCTTTGGGTCGTGGGTGAAGCAAGAGCACAGGGACAACTTCTTCTTTGTTACTCGGTCCACTTTAATGTCCGTTTCAACAGTAGGACAACTGAACACACTTAACATCATATCACTCCGCCAATCTTAACCCATGGTAACATTCCAGGTACATGCACCTTATGCAGTTCCTCATCTACATTGCAGAACAGAATACAAATATGCTTATATATGCAATTACCCTTAATTAATTTATGCAAATTCAATAAACATAGTAAAATAATTCACAAAATAAATCTAATTTTACAGTAGTCATCCCTGTTACATAAAGACCATGTTCTGTTTGTTGTATGTATTTGTTTTATACAATTATTATTTTTGTGTAAGTGCAGTGAATATATGTGTGTGTTTAGGTTTGTGTGTGTGTGGATGTATGTATGCATGTATATGTATCCATGCACATACTCGGACTCGTCTTACTTTTATACATGCTTCATTGTCCCCTTTTTTTGGTCCTACACAAATCACAAATGCACTGAAAATTGTTATTTTTGAAAAAATGCTTATAAAAAGAGTTTGGGAAAAAAAAAGAAAAAAAACATCAATAGATTAAACACCTGTTAGTAAAATATATCAGAATATAATTGTCAGACATAATCAGTGTTCTTTCTAACAATAGAGACTAAAATACATCAGATCTGCATAGGTTCCTCCCACCCTGAAAATTACAGATTAAATAGCTTTTCTCCTCATTAAAGAAACAGCAGAGACAAACAATCAATGAACCATTCAGAAACCCCTTATTATAGCCCTTGAGTACAGTATGAAAGACTCAGCAGACCGTACATCTCCAGCTAATGTTCCAGACATGCAGTAAATATAATAACCAGCTGGGTCTCTGTTTCACGGGATGTGGATCTGATCACATTATTGACAAAGAGCTGTCTGTCAGTCCTCAAATAAAGTTTCTCCAGATGGATTTTCAGTCACAGGCAGGAGGACAGAGGAGATGAGGAGGTATAAATTCTGACCACTCAAAGCGTTTTTCTCAAGGACACTTCGACATGCAGCGGGAGGATCCGGGGATCGAACCAGCACCACCGATCAGTGGACGACCCGCTCTACCTCCTGAGACACAGCCAGATATATATGTATAGAAGCTGAATACACAAACATAAAAGAATCACAGTATGGACTGCAGGTTCATTCAGATGATGAAGAGAGGAAACACTGAAAGCTGAACGTTGACATTCTCTTCCTTTGAGCCCCTTCAACAAGATCAATAATCAAAGATTGATCAACAGACCAATCAAACAGATTGATCAGCCATCAGAGGAGTTGGATCAATGGAGCTGCTTCTGTTCCTGGTTCTCCCTGCAGAGGAGATAGAGGACAGTCAGACACAGACAGACACAGAGACATCTGACCTCTGACCTGTATCTACAGTACTGACCTCTGACTGTGAGCTGCACTGATTTCTCTCTCAGGATGTATCTGATGTTTTCCTCATTACGGTAGGCGTTGCAGTAGTATCTTCCTGTGTCTCTCTCTTTGGGGTGTTTCAGGGTCAGACTGAGGTCTCCAGTTTTCGGCAGGTCTTCCTTCATCTCTGTTCGGTCTCTGTAATCCTGGTTCTGTATTTCAGGCTGATCAGAACTGTTCTGATACACATGGACTGTCGTTGTGGGTTTGGGTTCAATGCGTTCCCACTCCACTCCAGCATCCTCAGGCAGGTTAGCTGTGGTCTTGAAGGGCAGTTGGACAGACTCCGCCCCCTCCTCCACCTCCACCTGACAGACTGAGAGAACAACAAACCCCAACATCAGCTGTACAGACAGCAGCAGCAGTTTGTAATAACTTTATTGACTGATTACAAAGTTGTAGAGAACCCTGAAGGACAGAACCAGATGAGAGCAGCAGGTAACAGGGGACAGAAATATAGGAACTAAAAGCAGGTTTTCAAGCTGTTGGACATGTTGTGATTTTCTGTCCATGTGCTGCTTCACAGTAATGTCTCATCTCAGTGTTGAACTGCTGTCTGTTGCTCAAATGTAACAGTGAATGAATCTTAGTTCCACACAGCATTTCAAACACAGGTTCAACATCACTGATCAAACAAATGTCTCATTGTTTCTGTAGCAACACATTCACTCACATCATTTCTACTGTTGGGACCACTGGGACCATTCTGGAGGATTTAACCTCAACTTTTATCCTGATGGTCACTTCCTGTGACCTCTCATCAGGTCACTTCCTGTGACCGTAACCTGATACCCCCTGATGACGCTTTGACCAGCAAACAAACGGCAGGTCGACAGTTAGCTTTAACATCACTCTCTCTCTCACACACACACACACACACACTCACACTCACACACACACACACACACACACACACACTCAGCTTTCATATTGTGTTTTATTATTTCTTTAATGAACTTTATTATTCTGTGTATATACGTGCTCTCCTGTTTAATGTTGCAGAGTGAATGAGGACAACCTCTTCTGTCCTCAGCTCCAAACCCTTCAACTCATTAGTTATTGATGGTAAGTTTCTGTGACTGTTTCGATCCAAATATGTGACAGAGAAGAAACAATATCTGTCAGATGTTCCATCCAACTTAAAGGAGATTTATCTTCTAATGAGCTTCTGATAGAAACATTTCATTTTCATTATAATGACTGAACTTTTTATCGAAATATAATAATGATACAATATCCAAGGTAATGACCTTTGACCTGGATCTACAGCCCTGACCTTTGACCTGTATCTACAGCACTTACATTTGACCTGTATCTACAGCACTGACCTTTGACCTCAAGCTTCACTTGTTTCTTCATCAGGATCTTTCTCTCCCTGTTGTAGACGGTGCAGGTGAAGGTGCTACTGTCACTGTATGTGGGGTATTTCAGGGTCAGACTGAGGTCTCCAGGTTCCAGCAGGTTTCTCTTCATCTCTGTTCGGTCTCTGTAATACTGGTTCTGTTCTTCAGGCTGATCAGAGCCGTTCTGATACACATGGACCTTCCAGTTGTCAACGTCTGTCCACTCCACTGTGACGTCCTCAGGCAGGTGAACTGTGGTTTTGCAGGGCAGCAGGACAGACTCCACCTTTGAATCAACCTTCACCTGGGGGACTGAGAGGACAACAAACCACAACATCAGCTGCACTGCAGAAAATCTATTTCTAAGTCTCCATTACATTTGGTCTGATCACTACCTTTTGCTTACTTTCCTCTAACTGTTGTTTGATGTTAATTATGCATCGTCTGGTGACTGCCTGCTCAATGGCTACCATTTACATACTGTCTGTTGTATTGGTCCATCTCTAAAAGTACCTAATTTCATTTGCTCTGGATCAGCTTACTGACTCAGATCTGCTCTGTGTATGTAAGTTCACCAGGATGCCGGCATGCTTTATTAAACTCACACCACCACAGCAAACCTGAACTGGACTTGAATGATTTTTCTTCAACACTAGTCAATCAGATAATCTGATATTTAGATTTAAAATCTAGTGGGACTTGTTTTGAGTGTGGACTGATGATCTAGTGCTCACTATGGAAGGCTGTTTGACTGAATTTAAGTAAATGTCACTTGTCTTAATGAGCAGTTTGATCTTATTTGGAGTTATTTTTAGCTACAGGGACACATTAGCTACAGGAGTTCCAGTATGCTTTGACACTTTAAGATCTGAACTTTCAACACAAAAACATCTTATTTCAACTTTTAGTCTTTTGGCTTCTGTGATATTATATTTTACTTTTATTTTACTTTATCTTAAACTAAATATTTAATTTCAAGGTTTAGATTTCTGTTCACATTCCTTCATTTCTTTTCAGCCCGTCACATTACTTTGATTATAACAGACTATAAATAAAACATCTATTGAAAAATACAAACTATAATAACTCTGGTCATCAGTTTTTCAACATTTGGTCAGAAACCAAAGTATTGGACTTTATTAAACCTGGAGATGGAACATGAACATCTGAACCACATTTTGTCCCAATCTAGTGAAAACATACCAAATGTACCAAACTTGATGTCAGTGCATTCTGTAGTTGATAGAGATATCTCAGTCTGGACCAAAGTGATGGAGCCACCGATGGATATTATGATGGCAGAGCCACGTCACCACATGTCAGCTCAGTTTTAATGCTCAGCACACGACTCCCAACCCAAAACCTGAGCTTGGTAGATTATTATCTAGACACAAAACTAACACTGATCTGGTTTTCATTCATTAATCTACTATTGGACCTTACAGTCCTTGGAATGAGTGTATTATATATAATATCAGTATCAATGTCACTTGTTAACAAATTAAGCATAGCGTTAGTTCAGGCAGGCCACAAAGTCAAGCTCAGCTCTCAATTCCAGCTATATCAGCTGATCACAGCTAATCGTAAACACACAGTCAGTTGACAGCTCAGCTGATTCCCTCAAGCATCCAATTGGCAAATATCATTCATGGCGCCTTATTTAAGCTGCTTTAGCCTGCCTATCTTTGCTGCTTCCTCTACAAGCCATTTTGCAAGCTACCCCATGAGAACGATCAAACTATTTGTGTACGCATTTCCATTTACCCTACTGCTCGACTGCATTATGGAGTCTCAGCAGCAATCTGAGGCAGAGGAAGCCAACAAAGAGAGTGTCATTTCCATCCACCGGAACTCTCATTTGGCAAGAAAAAGTCCAAATACTACCGGCATTGATAATTGGCCAGTGCCTAAGCTCCTGGAAGTGTTTAAAAACATCACAGCTCCAGTAGGGGCGGCAACACACTGTGGTGCAGAGGCAGAGAGGGTCGTCCCCTAATCCCTAATAAGGTTGTTGGTTCGATCCCCAGCTCGTTCCACATGTCGATGTGAATGTGTATTATTGAGTTAGTTTGTGTTTGATGGGCTTTACCATCACTGAGTGAATGTGTGTAAAAGCGCTTTGAGTGGTCGGAAGACTATAATGGTGCTATACAAGTACAGGTCCATTTACCATTTACCATCTCACGAAGAGCTGTTTGTGCTGTTTAAGGAGAATATCCGCTCTGAAACCGCATCCGCAGTTCCTTCCAACTACTGTGTTCCTAAGAAATCTGCAGAGAAAAGGAAGAATTGCTCCCGCAACTCCGCTGCAGTCCCAGCTCCAGGCGCTGCGCTGCCTTCCAAAAGAACATGAGTCCCAGGCGCAGCACGGAGAACGCTTGGAAGTGCAGTCCCAATCTCCACAGGGGTTCCGTTCTTCCTCCAGCCGCTGAAATTTCTCCCAATCTGAGAAACCAAATCCTTTCAGGTAATGATGTCAACTTGATTAAAATCCTGCTGTGCTCAGAGATAAGCGATAGACGTATTGTCGACTGTGGAGATGTGTCAGTGATGCTGAAAGATAGGATGTTGGAAAGGGAAGCAGGGTTTTCAGTGCTTTTGTGGCGATGTCATGACATGTCAGACGTTTGTTTTTTACTCATTTTGCTAGCTTGAGGGCTTAACTGGGGTAACATATCCCGTGACCGAGACGAGCATCTTGACCTGTCTTAACATGTGTCAAGAGGCACAGACGCACAGACAGATGTATTGGGAGAGAATCCGGTCATTTTTCAAAATAAAACATCTTTCAGACTCTGATCATCAATAAAATATTTATTTTTTCTGTGCGACCCGGCCCCAAATGACCCACGGACCGATAGCGGTCCAGTGGTTGGGGACCGCTGGTCTAAAACACTAACTCTGGACAAATTGAATGTGGCTTTTGGTGTATATAGAGACGTCATATGCGAAGTGTACCCTTCCTGTAGAGCCGAACTGGACATATCCAATCTGGCCATGTCTTATGGAGGAACACTATTTTTCGAGTACCACAAGTCATTCTCTGCAAAAGCTGCCATGTTCATCCAAATGGTCAAACAAAGAATGGACTGGTCAGTAGTCGACCTGGCTCTGATTAGTAGGCATTTCACAGGCCACCAAGCTCTGTCCTGCTAGATTTGTGTCTCTTTCTCCCACTCTCATAACCTGTGCCCTAAATCTGAGGCTGTAGGCCAACCACCCAATCCTTTTCCAAAATCCCAAACCAAAGAAACCAAGCTATTGTGGAGACGGGCATCCAAAGTCAGTGTGCCCGAGACGAAACTGCCTCTCAAAAGGGGGCTTGAGAAAATAAAGCCTTCAATACCAATCAACGTCCCTGAGCTGGGGAAGGCGCTAAGGTAGATAGATAATAATAATAAAATAGAAATGAAACATGCAGGTAAATTAAGTGTTTAGAGGTTAATGTAAACTATGTGCAATTAAAATTAGGCTGTCGACCAATGAATGAAAGTCACAGCATTTAGCAGAGGTAGTGCAGATGAAGGAGGAAATTGTCCATTATCTATTGTCCTCCCAGCCTTTACTGAGAGCTGTTGTACAGTCTGATGGGGGACGAAAGAGTTTTTCAGTCTGTTGGTGGAGCTGGACTGGGACAGCAGTCTGCCACTGAACACACTCCTCTGCCTGGTGAAGGTGTTGTGCAGAGGGTGGTGAGTTTGTCCAGGGTCTTTCTTTCTGCCAGTGTCACCAGAGAGTCCAGCTCTGTGCCCACTACTGAGCCAGCTCTCCTCACCAGTCTGTCCAGTCAATGGGTTCCTCTCTTTTGCTACTTCCTCCCCAGCAAACTACAGCATAGAAAAGGAAACTGGCCACCACAGACTGGTGAAACATCTGCAGCAGTTTTTTACAGATGTTGAAGGACCCCAGCCTTCTCAGGAAGTACAGACAGCTCTGTCCTTTCCTGTGAAGAGTGTCCAGTGTCCAGCTTGTCATCCAGCTGCAGCCCCAGATATTTATAGGTCCTGATCACCTCCACATCGACCCCCTCGATGGACACGGGTTGGAGATGTGGTTTCTTCCTTCTGAAGTCCACCACCATCTCCTTGGTCTTGGAGGTGTTAAGCTGCAGATGGTTGGACCTGCACCATCTCACAAAGTCCTCGACCAGGCTCCTGTATTCCCCCTCCCATCCATCCTTGATACAGCCACTATTGCAGTATCATCCAAGTATTTCTGCATCTGGCAGAGCCCAGAGTTATACTGGAAGTCAGATGTGTACAAGGTGAAGAGGACGGGAGAGAGCACAGTCCCCTGTGGTGCTCCGGTGCTGCTGACCATAGTGTCTGACGTGCAGCCCTTCAGTCTGACGCACTGTGGTCTCTCCGTGAGGTAGTCCGTAATCCATGTCACCAGGAGTGGGTCCACCCTCATCTCTGTCAGCTTGTCTCTCAGCAGGAGCGGCCGGATGATGTTGAAGGCGCTGGAGAAATCAAAAAATGCGATTCTCACAGCGCCGCTCTCCTTGTCCAGATGAGAGTAGGCCCTGTGGAGCAGATAGAGGATAGCATTCTCCACGCTCACCTTCTTCTGGTATCCAAACTGAAGTGGATCTTGTGCGTGGTGGACCTGGGGTCTGAGGACATGGAGCAGCAGCTGTTAGAAGGTCTTCATTATGTGTGATGTCAGTGCTACTGGTCTGAAGTCACCTGGCCCCCCGGGGTGTTTTTTCTTAGGAACTGGGATGAGACAAGAAGTCTTCCATAGCACTGGGACCCTCCCCAGCTGCAGGCTCAGGTTGAAGACATGCTGGAGAGGCTCCCCCAGTCGCAGCACTCCCGATGCGCGCCGGGTGCGAGATCCCGTTCAACGGGGCTTGCAGCTTTAATTAGAATAATAATTAATAATTATATTCGTTAAGAGAATTTTCCATTTTGAAATTTTACAATAAAAATACATTGAGACTGTAAAAGATGGCCTTAAGCACATTTTTTATGGTTGCTTTTAATCTTGCATCAAATAGTGAACTGCATACTGTATGCAGACTTGCATGCATGTACAAATCACCAGCAGTAAATATTGTGCTAGTACTAGTATTGAACTACAAGAAGCAAGACATTTGCAAACCTTTAATTAGAGTTATGTAAAGCTTTTGATGGGACAGTTAGGTCTTAGAGATGTGGTGACAACAGCTGCGCAGAGGGGGCCCAATTAGATATTTTTGTTATGGGGCCCAAAATTCCTGGCGGCACCCCTGATGCCATCAAGTTGATTAAAAAAGCTGGTAGAGGAGCATGGCTAGCCAAGGCAGATGTCCTTGAGGCATTTAAAGTCATGGCATTACACCCTTCACAGTGGCATCTGTTCGACGTGAAATAAAGAGGAAAAATTTACTTCTCAGTCAGGCTCACCTTTGGTTGTCACAGCAGCCCCGAAATATTTGACACCTTGTCAGAGGCTCTCATTAGTTTTGGGGGGTATTTTAATAATCAATGGTTCGCAGACATCTGGCCAAAAGAACCGTCGTCCTTGCCAGCTTTAATGGAAATGCACCCAATTGTTGTTTCATGTCTTCTGTGGGGAAAAGACTGGTCAAGGAAACGAATCATGTTTTTTGTGACAATGAGGCAACCGTCAACATCATTAACAAGGGCGTTCTTCAGTTCCATTCATTAATAGATTTGTAAGGCGCCTCACTTGGTTATATGTGTTGGGTAATAATTATTAGAGCAGCTCATATTCCAGGCTTGGATAACAAAACTGCTGATTCTTAATAATTCTTTCTAATTCTTGAATTGCAGCCTGACTTGCCCCCATTCTCTCAAACCGTGTTAGATTAAACACAACCTGGCATTCCTGCATGCTATCTGCTGCTCACTATATACGATCTGGCTTAGCTAAATCAACATTAAAGATGTCCGACTCTGCATGGTCTAATTTCACCTTCCTTTGTGCCACCTTCTCTGCAGCAGTTCTGCCCGTCAATATTTCCATCATATGCGCCTTTATACAGTTGTTCACTGTTTTGAATCCAGCAAAATGCAGCAGTCTTCCATAAAAGGCCTTGTCGCAGGTATTCAGTTCCATCTGCGCTGTTTGGCTCCATCCACCATCAGCCTGTTCGGAAACCTATCTGTCCATCTTCTGCTGAATGGCCTTAAGAAAGAGAATGATATTCGTCTTCCTGTGTGACTCCCCAGTGGACTCTGTGGATTCCTTCCGCTTCCTGGGTACCACCATCACCCAGGACCAAGAAAGGCCAGCAGAGGATGTACTTCCTGCGGCAGCTGGGGAAGTTCAACCTGCCAAAGACGATGATGGTGCACTTCTACACCGCCATCTTCGAGTCCATCCTCACATCATTCCATCACCATCTGGTACGCTGCTGCCACTGCCAAGGATAAGGGCAGACTGCAGCATATCAGCTGTGAAGGTGATCGGCTGCAATCTGCCATCCCTCCAGGACCTATACGTCTCTAGGACCCTGAGGCGTGCAGGCAAGATTGTGGCTGACCCTTCCCACCCCGGTCACAAACTCTTTGAACCTCTCCCCTCTGGCAGGAGGCTGCGGTCCATCAGGACCAAAACCTCTCGCCATAAAAACAGTTTCTTTCCGTCTGCAGCTGGCCTCATTAACAAGGCCCGGATCCCCCACTGACACTGACTCTTATACCCACTCTGTATATATGCATTACATTAATGCACTCCCGTCTTCTGTACAGTTTTCTTATCTTTATTTGTCTTTATTTATCTATATTTTTTAAAAGTACTTTATTCTTGTATATTTTTGTGTGATTTATGTATTTTTTTGTGTGATTGTATATTTTAAGCACCATTGCAAGACAAATTCCTCGTATGTGTAAAAACCTACCTGGCATTAAATCCCATTCTGATTCTGATTCTGATTCTGATTCTTTCACTCTTTCACTCTTGAAAAAAACTAATCATGTACTTATGGGACGGGTGCTTTGGTCAATACACAGATCTATTTGTTCTCTTTCTCACTGCTTTTTATGGATTTCTCAGAGGTGGCAAATTCACTACACGCACAGGATCTTTTGATCCTTCGCATGAGCTCACTATTGCTGATGTATCTATTAGCCCTCACCACTTCTCTTTATTACTTGAACATTCTGAGACTGATAGGGATAGAAAAGGAGAGGAAAAGTCATCATTTCTGAATCTAATTCTGCTTTTTGTCCACTGTCTTCTATGACTCAATATCTGAAAAGCGGTCCTCAAGCCAGAAATCAGGAGCCCCTCTTTGCCACGGAGGAAGGAAATTCCTTGTCCCGAGCTTGGTTTGGCTCACGCCTTTTCACTCTGCCAAACCTGCGGGCTTCCTCCAGAGCACTACACTCCTCATTAAATTTACATAGGACCAGCGACAACTGCAGCCTCTGTAGCTCCTGTCTCAACACTTGAGGCTATGGGTAGATGGTCATTATCTGCTTATGAACCTCCGGCCCGAGGCCCAAGCAATACTTGATGCTCAAAAAGCAATGAGTGCCCTGTAATTTGCTGGCTAAATACAATAAATGTATAGCATCATTTCTGGGGATATCTCTATTATACTTGGCTATGTTACCTGAACTAGTGTCTGCATAGATGTAGTGGTTTAATGCGCTGCTGGCTCCTCCTACTGGCACTTCCTTTATCAATAACAATATAATAATGGTACAATATTCAAAGCACTGACCTTTGACCTGTATCTACAGCCCTGACATTTGACCTGTATCTACATTACTGACCTTTGAACTGTATCTACAGTACTGACCTTTGACCTCAAGCATCACTTGTTTCCTCATCAGGATCTTTCTCTCCCTGTTGTAGACGGCACAGATATAATTTCCTCTGTCACTGTCTGTGTTTGTGGGGTATTTCAGGGTCAGACTGAGGTCTCCAGGTTCCTGCAGGTTTCTCTTCATCTCTGTTCGGTCTCTGTATTCCTGGTCCTGTTCTTCAGGCTGATCAGAGCCGTTCTGACACACATGGACCTTCCAGTTGCCTTTGTCCGTCCACTCCACTGTGACGTCCTCAGGCAGGTGAACTGTGGTTTTGCAGGGCAGCAGGACAGACTCCTCCCCTGAATCCACCTTCACCTGGTAGACTGAGAGGACAACAAACCACAACATCAGCTGTACTGCAGAAAATCTATTTCTAAGTCAGTCAGATAATAAAAATGATATTTAGATTTAAAATCTAGTGGGACTTGTTTTGAGTGTGAACTGATTATCTAGCGCTCACTATGGAAGGCTGTTTGATGCTGTTTGTTTTCCAAAATGAGAACTAGTGGGAGCATATAGATGGTGAATGAACTGGACCCAGAATGGATCCTTGGGGAACTCCTGCTGATAGGAGTTCAGCCAGTTAAATGCTGTGCCAGAGAGTCCTACAGTTTTCCAGTCCGTCCAGTAATATCTTGTGTTCAACGGTGTCAAATGCAGCCTGAGATAGGACTAAGACACAGACTTTACCACTGTTTGTATTTAATATGGCATTATGTAGGAGCCAAAGACAATGTTATGCTACAAGTCAGAGAGCTAAAGATATGCTATGAGCCAGAAAGCTAATCTAATGCAACAAGCCAGAGAGCTGACTTTGTGCAACCTTTGACCCAGAGCAATCCTAACCACAAACCACAACATCAGCTGTACAGACAGCAGAAGTTACTCTGATGGTAACAAGACTTCACTGCCACATCCTACTTTCATAATCCCAGACCTCTTTATGGGTAGTGTAGTAGTGACAAACCTGACATTAAATAGTGACGAAAATGCACCAAAAGACCCCCAGAAACAATGAGGCCTAGAACCAGTAGAACCAGGAGAGCTGTGGCCCAGGATGGAAATCGCTCTGTGAGAAACACAACAAATGACCTCTATGACCTGTATCTAAAGTAATGACCTCTGACCTGTATCTACAGTGAGTTTTAGAGTTTGTTGCTGACCTTTGACCTGCAGCTTTATGTCTCTCACTGTCCGTTGTCCTCCTGATGCTCTAACGGTGCAGGTGTAGTTGCCACTGTCAGAGAGGCGGAGTTTTGTCAGATTGAGGCTGAGGTCTCCAGTTTCCAGAGCGTCAGCCATCATGGATGTTCGGCCGCTGTAAAGCTGGTTTTGGTCTTTAAGTTCATCACCTTCCTGCTGACGCTGGTGGACGGTTGGAGGATTGAGATCGTAGCGGCTCCACACCACTGAGGGGTCGTCCATTTCAAAGGTGGGAAACTCACAGGGCAGCAGGACAAACTCCTCCCCCTCATACAGCTCCACAGCTGAGGCATACTGGGAAACTGTGAGGTCACACAGACAGAGAGGTTCAATCACAGCAGCCTTATTTCAGCTCTTATTGCTCCTGGATCCTCAATATGGTTTGTTATTGGACTCACAAACAGGAGCAATAACAGAACAATCTGATAGACTGCCTATTGATTCAACATGGTGTTCAAATGAGTGTGTTCGGATGATTAATACTATTGGTAATGGACTTCCGGAAGCATGAGGGTGGGGATGGCTGCATGAGAACTTTGCTCCTGACCAAACTGCCGTAAACCCTGAAGATATTTTATGTTTTATATCTGTCATGTGACCAATGATTAAAACATATATACTTAAGTTGATTAAAGTTGCATTAGCAAATAAAGATGATTGAGCACCATGTAATAAATAGAAGGCTGGTATATTGCATGAACTCTGTACCGAGAAACAGGATGAATGAACAGCAAACTCTCAGAAATGATTAGGGTCACACTAACCGCAGTTTCTCCCTGCAGTCGTACAACAGGATCTTGAGATATAAGGAGCGCCACCTAATCATGCAAAACAACTCCATATATGGAAATGAATAAGTCGTCACGTGTTAATCAATTTGTTGCAAAGAACAGAGAGTGCTAGTCAATCTGTAGTAAAGAACAGGCGTATTGTCTATTTGTATGTGAAGTTTCAGATTACACCCAGAGTCAGATACCACGAGGATGGAAAGCGCCTACAGCTGATGGGAAGAAGACGACGCCTTATTGTGACGTTTCTCACAGATGTAATAAAACACTGGGTCAGGAAGAGATAGTCGGACTTGGTGAACTGACACACACTTTGTTGATTGTCAGGGATACTATAGTTTGGACCCAGAGCTCTATAAACTTTGCATATTCTACTGGTGTTAAGAATAAAGCTGATTATTGAGTAAACTAAATCTTCTCCTATTGCTTCATTAAAAGAACACGTAAGGATAAGAGTTAAAAGAGACCGCTTTCCTCAACAACCCCCATATAATACAGGAGATTTACCTTATAAGAGCACAGTAGTAACTACTAATGTTGGAGGGAGACAAACGTGGCCTCAGTATGTCGTTGAGGAGCAAAAAAAGGAAACTGACACGGAAAACACAGATTGTGGCGGCGAGGCTATGCTAGCTGAGACGGTCTCATTAGCTTCCATCCGTAACGCCATAAAAGAAGCCATGGCTAATGCTACATCTGACCTAGAGAACAATATCTCCAAACAGTTCTCAGACTTCCGGAGCAACATTCAAGAGGATATCAGAAACAACTTGGCGAGATGAAATCGGATATATTAATCTGAAGATGAGAAGACCGTGAAAAAAATGGAAGTGGTGTCGCAGAGACTGGGGGAAGCCGAGCAACGGGTAGGAGAAATGGAGACATTCAGCATGTAAGTGAATTAAACTTTAAACCAGATGCAGAAAACTCAACACGAACTGAAATCACAACTAACCGAACTTGAGGGGCATTCCCGTCGTAACATAAGGATCTACGGTATAAAAGAAGGAGCTGAGGTCACCTGCATGATTTGTTTTGTGGAAAACCTCATCTAAACTGAACTGGGAGATGGCACAGGCCCAAACAAACTTGGTATTTAACGTGCACACAGAGCACTCGGACCCAAACCAACTGATAATGCCCCCCAAGATCAACGATCGTCAGATTTCTGAAATACACAACCAAAGAGAGGATTATCAGCGCGGCGTGGAAAAAAAAACACCACGGTGGATGGGAATAAGGTATTTTTTGACCACGACTTCAAAACAGCTGTTATGAAGAAAAGGAGGGAATATCTGCCGATCAAGAAAGTATTGAAAGAGAAGGGAATCAAGTTCTGCACGCCGATGACAAAAATGTTATCCTGTTAATCCACTTCGTCCCATCATAACACCAGCTTTTCCTGAACATGTTTCCATCTTTATTATTTGACACTGGATAGAGACGGTAGGCTACATCTCTCAGACCATCTGAATAGCTTTCACTCCGTTACCTCTCCCAAATGGTATGTTACAGCGTGTGGTAACATTTTACAATACATATTAAAGTACACTTCTGTATTACTGTAAAGTCATTGTGATGGCCACAGCCATGGCCACACAGCAATCTTAAAAGCGGTAACCTCAAACACTTATACTTTCCTTTCCAGTTTATGCTGTTTTTTTCCCTTAAGATTGGTTTATATACCTTTTCAGACATATTATAAATTTTATTGTAAACATTTATTTAGTTTTAAATAACATACAGGACACTTGTAGTGATGGCAGTGCGACACTGAAGCTTCGATACGTGCTTCGAAACCTGAACTACAATTCCATAGAACCACTGCTTCAAAGCTTGCGTTGGTGCGAAAAAAATCACGTGACAAATGATGTCTGAAGCAATAAAAATCTTTGACTGTTCCCAATCCCCTCCTGTTATAGTTACACAAGCATACCCTAACCTATACAATATTTTCCAAGCATTCTCTCCTCAGTAACACAATACACACATTCATCAATCTTTATTTGTAAATAGAACATGATATAGATAAGAATTTTCAAAGCAAATACACTTTACATCCAAGGGTGATCAAAGCAAAAATGCTTCAGAAGAAATGGTGTTCTCTACAAAGTTTCTCTAACACTGCTCGCTGGATGTGTGCACGTGCGTGCATGCAAGTCCATCAACTAGCCTAAGTGATGCGCGGGTCGGGGTTTTTTCCAACCCGCGGGTCCCGCATTTATTTAATAATTTGACCCGCTCCATCCCGCCCCGCACAACCGCATCTATTTTCACAACCCGCCCCACCCTGCCCCGCCGCTATTAAATACACGTTAAATTTGTCATTAAATAAGCCTTTTTTTTGGTTTTACAAATGTGCTTGAAAACAGCCTTTCGAGTGGCACTGGAAACTGGCAACAACAAATTCAAATCTTAATCCTAAAATCACTAAAAATAAATATATATATAGGCGCTTTTGTGACGTCAGGTCACAGGTGGATTTACCCAACAGTGTTGTTAAGAAGTAGGCTGCATTGGACAATCCTTAATGACCCCCCCCACCCGCCCCGCCAAAAAGGTTAACATTTCTTTTATCGAAGAAAACAAAAAAACTAAGTATATGCTTATACATATTTTTAGGACCTGAGATGGGTCAATTATTGGCAGCAACATTGATTTTTTTTTCTGCAGTGTCAGATTTTAAACAAAAAAATCACACATTTGTTCCTATGGCAGAAAACTGCCACCTAAGCAAAAACTGCTGTAAAAATCTTATAAATCAATATTTTTTTCTACTTAAAATGAGTTAATCTTTTAGAACTACTCCAGCTTGAAATATACATATCAAATATGTATCATATTTGGGGTATTTTAACCCTTTAAATGCCAATGTGTTTACACAACTCCACTGTTGTGGAAAGTCTCAGAGTTTGTTTGAGACCAGTTATTTTTCAATTTTTTTAAGTCCATTTTGCTGCTGCTTCATCAATTTCATCTTCCGATGAGTCTTCAGATGAGTCAGGGCTAAACACCAGATCGTCTGTCTCTACCTCTGAGGCCTCCTCCGTGGAGGAATCGGAGTCCTCGGAGGAGGATGAGGAGCCATCTTCGCTCTTGGAGCCCATGATTATTTCAAGCGCCTCCTGTGTGCTGTAATGCCTTGCCATCTCTAAAATGACTATTCCTTCACTACTGCTCATACTTATAACCATGACTGCAGTGCACCTGCATCAACAGCCTGAACAACAGCCTGAACGAGAACCAAAACAAAGTCACATTTTGTTTTGGTTTTCGCCACTCATAGTTTTTATTATTGAATTAGTTTATAAACGCAGAGTTTGGCATTCTAAGAGAAAAGACTTGTGAAGTTGGACACACACACACACACACACACACACACACACACACACACACACATTCACATCACATCATCAATAGTAATACACACTTATTTCAGTAGCAAGGCACCCTGGCAGAAAACAATAAAAAGTGTGAAATTTTGCTGCATGCTTTGAATGGGAAAAAGTATGCCATTTGGTGGACTAATATAAAAATTGAAAGCTTTTAGATCAAAATTAAATCTTAACATAAAGGAATGCATTAGTTTATGTTTGCTTAGTCTTGTTTGCTGTTCTCAGGGGAGGCGAGTGAGTGTCTAGGAGAATGTCGGTCTATATGAGTAACAAAGAATTTAAGGGATGAAGTTGAGAAAAATCTCAGGTTTACAAAACAGAGATACTATGAGGCAGGCTCCAAAGCATCCAAGCTACTAGCCTGGAGGCTGCGAAAACAGCAATCAGAAAGCACAGTGTACAAGATTAGAGACCCTACCACTAAAAACTCTACATATAAACTAGAGAGAATACAAAAAGCATTTGAGAAATTTTACCAGACCCTGTATACCCAGCCCACACTGTTTGAAAACAGGAGGGAGCAATTAATACCAATACTACATAAAAGTCTACTACTACTTGATAAGAACATTAAAGGACTTATACAGGAAAATATATCAAGTATTACCAAAATATTTATCACAGCCTATAATAGAAAACAGTGACCAGAAAGATCATTGGCGAACTATTTAGACATATAGCTGAATTAAGAGGTCACTCAACAAACTATATTAAAGCGAAATGGGAAAAATAATTGGGAACTGTAATTACTTCTGAAGACTGGACATATAATTAACACACAAATCACCACTACGGCCTCACAACTGTGGAGAGATTTCTCTTGGAAAAATTGTATCAGATTTTTTATATAACACCAAAACAGACAGGACTACAATCTACATGCTGGAGAGGATGTGGACACAGTATGGCAGATCATACACACATATTCTGGAGCTGTCCCATTCTTAAATCCTTCTGGGAAGGAGTTCAAAGTATTATCAGAGAAGTCTTGCAGCATAATTATAATTTTACCTGTTTATCACTCTACCTGGGTAATATGGACATAGAACTACCAAAGAAAGACAGATACTTCCTAAAAATCTTCATGGCAGCAAGCAAAAAAGCCATAACAAGAAGATGGCTCAACACAGAATCTCCCACGGTTAGTCAGTGGGAAGTCATAATTAAAGACATCCAAACTAAGGATCTATTGACTTTTAGTCTCAGATTACAAAGGGACAAAGGTAATGCCCTCTGGGAAAAATGGTACATGTATATCACGAGAAGAGGTGATAACCTGCCTTAATGCCTTATACTAATTTCATTAGAAAAACAATGACCATATTACTGTAATCAGTGATGACCTACTCGCAACCCCATGGTTCTCTCATGTTTTGTTCCTATGAATGTGAGCATGTGTATATCTGCATTTATATATATATGGATATGTTTATGATTATTTGGACATAATGGGTGTAAGTGAACACGTGCACGTATGTGTTCAGGTGCACAGGCATATGTGTACGCAGCTACCTTTTGTTTTTCTTCCTTCTATTAACTACAGGGTTAGCGCTTGAATTATTTTGTCACATTATATTGTAATTATATTGTTTATTGCATTGATGCTGCCCTGTTTTGTACAAAAAACTCAAAAAATAAAGTTTTAAAAAAATACTATTGGTAATATAAGCTATAAAAATGTGAACAACCTCCAGAGATATAATCCTGAAGAACCGAACTGAGGACAGTCTGACTGTACAGTCTTCTACATTCATCATGATTTACACAAACATTGAAAATATGCTGCCTTTAATATGTTCTTCATGTTTTTATTGGAGTTTAAACAGACTAATGAAGTGAAGATGAAAGAAATACAGATTAAAGACATGATGTTGGACTAATGATCAGATCAGAGGGAGGAAGGTTATCTTACCGTGCATGAGGATCACAAACACCACAAACATCTTCATCTTCCTGTAAAAACTCCAACAACCACAAAGTCCTCATTAATCTGCTTCTCACTAAACGAACACTTGAAAAACACATTCAGTTCACAGCCAGTTGTCACTTTCCTTCTCCCGATAATCTGCCAACACTGTGAGGAGAAAACTTTAGTTTCACTTTAAACTGTTTCCAGAGAAGCAGCCGTTGGAATGGAAAGAAACCGGCTGAGCAGCTTTCACACAAACATTATTGGTTGATTGGCAATAACTCCCAAAACGACATATATGAGCGGTGGAGAGTAGAGCAGTGACAGACACACTGGACCTGAAGGACGTTAAACATTTGGGTTTTAGTCCAGTTGACAATAATGTGAACAGAAATTTTTTTATGTTATAAATGTACAGTCAGGGTCTCCAACATTTAGAAACTGCTAACTTGCATATGTTGGGCAATTAGCATAATAACCTATATAGACAATATTCCAGCAGCTGTGTGGCTGAGTTTGACAATATAGGAGTTAGTTTTGAGGGCTATTGAGGATTCTGAATCCATTTCTCACATTTTTTAAAATATAAAATGTCAGTTTAAACTGGAAGTGGTTATATTTCAACTCCTGGTGGGATGATTTTTATGTTATATGTATCAGACCTGCATTTTAGACAGACAGACAGACAGACAGACAGACAGGTGAAGTTGTTGTGGGATTAAAACCTGTTTGTAGTCTGAATGAGTGTTTGTCTTCCCTATATTCCTGTCCTACTAAAGCGAGAGAAGACAGACAAAAGATAAAAAGAGTAGTTAATATAACTAAATACACCCACTTATATGTATGTAGTTATACATTTAGAGCTCATTTTCGGTGACTTATTGGTTGAACAAAACCAAAATTATTTTTTTACAGCAATGTCCGACTAGAGTCAGAAAAAAAGGTGAGGTTAATTTATTAACCAGCTGGTGCAGATGTCTCCATATTCTCCCCTGCTGATATTTTTATAGAGTTTCACACAAAGTTTAAGCCGAGAATCACCAAGCTTCGTGCCGGGGGGGGGGGGCTCTGTAACTCCGTTACTGATGTGGGTTTTGTGACCGGGGGTAATTGTCTTTATGTTGGTCTGTATTTAGTTAAACGTGCTCAGTCAGTAATATGTTTGTGTCGCTGTTAGAAAGAGCAGAAAACCTCCGAGTGAACAAACTGTAGCTGCTCATCAGCTGTTAGCTCGCTGAGCTGCATGGAACTGGGAAGACAACGTCAGATAGCTTTAATTGTCTTTAACCTGGTAACTTATTATCTGCTGGGTAGCTCAGTATCTGTTCACCGTGTGGATCAATACAGCTGTGATCAGAAGAAGACACCGTACTGTGTGTAATTCAGCAGCGGAGGTCATTAGTTTGGTAGCATTGTAGCTTTGATTAGCACACAGCAGCTCTGTGATGTCACTGTGTTACAATGGTTACTGAGTCTGTCGGACTTTATGTTGTAATATGAGGGGCAGTGTGATTGATAACCCTTGTTAACCGTTAATTAGGTTGGAGCCTGGTGGTTGTTTTTCATGATGCTTTCTGTGTAACTTTATACTGACGCGCTAATGTTATCAGCTAGCGCTAGCTTTGTTGTTTCTCTGCTTCGTTCAGGTGTGTGTGTGAGGTGTTGGACTTTTTTCCAGAAGCGCCTGGGTGCCGTCTGAAAATCCTTCTCCATGGCTTCTCCAAACTCCTTCCACACCCGCTGTTTTGCTTCCCTCACAGCTGCAGCTGCAGTCCTTCGGGCCTGTCGGTACCCTGCAATTGCCCCCGGGATAACATATCCCAGAAGGCCTCCTTCTTCAGTCAGACATCTTCCCTGACCACAGGTGTCCACCACCGTGTTTGAGGGTTACCGCCTCTTGAGGAGCCCAAGACCTTAAGACCACAGCTCACAGCTGCAGCTTCAGCAATAGAAGCTTTGAACACCAACCACTCTCGTTCGATGTCCTCCACAGGAATGCCGGAGAAGCTAAGTTGAGTTGAAGGTCTCTTGGACAGGGGCCTCCTCCAGACGTTCCCAGTTCACCCGTACTACACGTTTGGGTTTACCAGGTCTGTCCAATCCGCCACCGAACCCAACTCACCACCAGATGGTGATCAGTTGACAGCTCCACTACTCTCTTTACCCGAGTGTCAATACATGCGGCCTCAGGTCTGATGATACGATCACAAAATCGATGATAGACCTTTGGCCTAGGGTGCCCTGGTACAATGTACACATATGAGCATCCATATGTACGAACATGGTATTTGTTATGGACAATCCATGACTAGCACAGAAGTCCAGTAACAAAACACTGTTCAGTTTCAAATCGGGGAGGCCGTTCCTCCCAATCACTGCCCTCCAAGTGTCTCCATCATTGCCCACATGTGTGTTGAAATCTCCCAGGAGAACGATGGAGTCCCCTACTGAAGCCCTATACAGGACTTCATTCAGGGTCTCCAAGAAGGCCGAATACTCTGCACCCCCCCCCCCATAGGCGAGGGAGGCGACCCTCTCGTCCACTGGGGTGAACTCCAACGTAGCGTCGCTCAGCCGGGGGCTTGTTAGTATTCCCACACCAGCCTGGCGCCTCACACCTTGTGCAACTCCAGAGAAGAATAAGGTCCAACCCTTATCCAGGAGTAAGGATCGAGAGTCTCAACTGTTCCAGCTCCTTCCCCCCCAGCGAAGTGACATTCCACGAACCCAAAGCCAGCTTTTGCTGCCCATCTTTTCAATTCAATTCAATTCAATTCAATTTTATTTGTATAGCGCCAAATCATAACAGAAGTTATCTCAGGACACTTTTCAAATAGAGCAGGTCTAGACCAAACTCTTTATAACATTATTTACAGAAACCCAACAGTACCACCATGAGCAAGCACTTGGTGACAAGGGCAAGGAAAAACTGCCTGTTAAAAGGCAGAAACCTAGGACAGATCCTTCGGCTCTAGGTGGGTGGTCGTCTGTCTCAACCAGTTGGGGTGAGAGGGAGAGAGAGAGAGAAACAGAGAGAGAGAGACAGACAGACAGACAGACAGGTGCACAGCAACAACAGTATTGGCAATGGCAATCTAGCAGGACCATGGCAGGAGGCTCCACCAGGATCGATAAGAACCTGCGAGACGAGAAAGCACAAGAACTCCAGAGAAGAAGTAACATGCATTAATGGGACATGAATGAGTGCAGAAAGAGAGAGGAAGAGAGGAGCTCAGTGCACCATAGGAAATCCCCCGATAGTCTAGGCCTATAGCAGCATAACTAAGGGACGGTTCAGGACTCACCTGATCCAGCCCTAACTATAAGCTTTATCAAAGAGGAACGTCTTAAGCCTACTCTTGAATGTGGTGAGGGTGTCTGCCTCCCGAACCACAGCTGGTCTGTCTAGGCCCCCTGCCTTTACTGCCACCCATTTGGCATTGCACCCGACCCCAGTGGTTTCTCCTATGCCCAGCTGGGCTCCCTGGCAAGCCCAGCCACCAGGCACTCTCTTTCGGGCTCCCCTTCCAGCCCTGGTTCCAGACGAGGGCCCCGGGCTTCCTCCGGGCCAGGCATCTTGACACCTTCCACTTACTTCCATAGGGTCTTCTGTGAACTTCTGTGAAGGAAGTGTGTGGTACATCCCACACCAAGGGGTTTATCACCTGAGGACACCAGATAAGATCAGGGTAGTTTTTGACTACTCTGCAAAGTATGAAGGCACTGCCTTGAACAACCATCTGCTAACAGGACCTGCCTTTACAAGTGGGCTAACTGGAGTGCTCTGCCGATTCTGTAAACATCCCATCACTGTCATATGTGATGTGAAAAAGGAGATACAGATTATCTACTGTTCCTTTGGTGAAGAACCCAGGGAATATCATATTAAGGTCCGCCATCATCATCTCCAGGCTGCGTTAGTTATGGCATGAAACATCTTGCAAGCCAAAATGCGTACCCTTCAGCAGCTAGTTTCATCAGAAAGCACTTCTATGTAGTTGACAGCCTAATAAGCCAAGAGTTGGTTGAGGGGGCAATCAAACTGGTGAAAGAAACCCAAACCGTGTGTGCTACAGGAAAGTTGCACCTTCATAAATTCTTCTCCAAAAGTCGAGAGGTACTGGAGTCCATTTTTGTCACAGAATGTGCTGTTGAGGTGAAGAACGTGGAACTGTATAATGTTGTGTTATTCCATGATTGTTTTTACATGCACACAGTATGGTAGTTTATGTTCATTTATGTTCATCCTCATGTATTCACACTCTGGCTGTCTCACCCTAGTTACAAGAATTATTATTCACTGTGCCATGAGCTAAGTGCATTCCAATGTCTCTATCCATCTCTGTGTGTAAATGGTAAATGGTAAATGGGCCTGTACTTGTATAGCACCTTTCTAGTCTTCCAACCACTCAAAGCTCTTTTACACTACCTGGCACATTCGCCCTTTCACACACATTTTTTAAGCCAGAAGGCCTCCATCCTTCACAGGGTCACGTCTCTTATCCACCAACATTGAACTGACTCTGCACTCCTGTACAGCGTGTATATCCTTACCTGCAATGAGTCCATTTAACTTTCTACTATGCATGCAAAACAAATGTGCCTTTGCTGTTTTAGCCCCAATAGCCTTCCCCAATCACTCAGATTCACTGAATCTGTGGATTGTTTTAAGTGGCTCCCCAAAACCCACCTCTACAGACAAGCCTTTTTATAAATCTACTTGTTAGTTTTCTCATCTGTCGTCTCTCTTTTAATTTATCCTTCTGTCAAGTAAGTTGAGAACCCTGATCCGCTAACTACACTCTGGAAAGCGAGGGACTTTCCATCATCGGTCTCTACATTGCAAAACCAGGGAGTTTCCACTACAGCGAAGAGAGATAACAACGGAGAGTTAAGGATTGTCCATCTGAATGAACGTAAAATGCACAAATATTATGATAACCAAAAGCTGTATAATGTTTGAAGTTGATTTTATGTTATGATATGAAATATGTAACAATGAGTTATGATTGATTATGATTATAAAAGAGATACATGTAATAATGAAAAAGAAAATGATTATGGGTGAAATTAAATGTATGAAATGTATAACTAAGTTAGAAATATGGTAAGAAAGGCCAAAAGGGCAAATCATGTTGAAATACTGAGCTAGGAGTGAGAAGGCATGTGGAGCAACTAGACATGTCCAGACATGCCTGAGGCAGAGAGAAAAAGGCAAGTTAGACCATACTATGTAAGAAAGTAGTATGCACACAGGACACTGATGAGCAGAAGAGGAGAAAAAAATTCCCTAAGGGGATACAAGGAACTGCCCCGGGAGGATCGTGGTTAGTCCTCGGCTGGCTCTCGGGTTCAAGACTTGCTGGTCGATCGACTACATCGGAGCAACTCTTTTAACTTAGAATTTCAACTTAAGAGACAGGGCAACGAACAAGCCATCGTCGCAGAAAGAGAAGTCCAACAACCTACAGCTGAGACTGGAGCGGCGGGCAGAGGAGGATTGACCATCTCCACCCGGCTTCAGGTTCCGATTGATCACCAACGATCACTCTTTCGTTCTCCCTGCCATCAGAGACTGCACTGGTCAGAGACTTTGCGGACTTTGGACAAAGTCGTGAGTTTCAACAGCCACCAACAGTACAGCAGGCGCAAGGGAGGACTGTACTGGCCGTACACCCGTACAACGCTTCCCTCTCTCTCTTCGAGCTGGACATTCGACCATTCAGCTAAAAGCCTTTTCATCAGGGGTTTGAAATTTAAATGATTCTTTTTAATATCAGAAACATAGTTAATCTTTATCAGTAGATGTGAACAATCAATTCTGAATCAATATATGCTGTATGCTGGCCCTTGATAAATCTTGCAATAAAAAATAACCATTGAAGTTAAAGAATAAATTGTGGACAATGGATTTATGATATCTCATTGGGCAGTAATTATTAGGTAGTGTGTTCATCAACTTAATGGTTCTAACAGGTTACTCTAGCCAAAGAAATTAAACTGACCCTTGGGACTTACTGTACAAGCCACTAAAGTTATCCTAGCAACTACCAAGTACACAGATCAATAAGAGGAGAGCTGCCATTAATGGACGTGACTAGTGTGGTATTTGACCCTAGGGCTATTCGGTCAGGTCCATCACTAGGGTGAGCAGGGAGGGGTTCGGATGAAGGCAGTTAGAAGCTAGGTGTATCTTCTCGCCACCAGCTTTAATAGTCCTCTTTTAAACCTAGTAGGGTAATACTCATAGGCAAGAGGCCTATGAATGGAGAGCTTGTCCAGTACCACCTATACGGGGGTAACTCGGGATCTAACACTTCCCTCTAGTTTTATCTTCATTATGTCTGTATTTACATGCTCCCTATGTTTGTTTTATTGGGTATCGTTATACCCATATGTATATTTGTTGTTTGTAAAGCACTTTGGATCTCTGTGTCAAAAAGGTGCTATATAAATAAAGCTTTACTTACACTCAGTTATGGCAATGCCAACTGAACAGAAACGCATTCATACAATTCGGGGTTCTTGCTCAAGAATACTTCGATACGTGGCAGGAGGAGCCCGGATCGAACCAACATCCTTCCAATTAGAAGACGACCCGCTCTGCCGCTGAGCCACAGCCACCCTTGTCTGTCTATCTATCCGTCTATCTATGTGTGTATCTATCTGTGTGGATCTTTGTCCGTCCATTTTGTGTCTCTGTCTGTCTGTCTGTCTTTCTGTCTGTTTGTCCAGCAGAGGTCAGTGTAACATCATTAATCTTCAGTCTGTTTCAACCTCTGACCTTGTTTCCCTCTCTGTCACTTTGTCAACCAAAAGAGCCTGTCTTTATTCTAAAATGCAGGTCTGATACATTAAACATATAACATAAAAATCATCCCACCAGGAGTTGAAATATAACCACTTCCAGTTTAAACTGCCATTTTATATTTTGAAAAATATGAGAAATGGATTCAAAATCCTCAATAACCCTCAAAACTAACTCCTATATTGTCAAAGTCAGCCACACAGCTGCTGGAATATTGTCCATATAGGCTATTATGCTAATTAATGCTAATTGCCCAACATTTGCAAGTTAGTAGTTTCTAAATGTTGGAGACCCTGACTGTACATTTATAACATCAAACATTTCTCTGTTCACATTATTGTCAACTGGACTAATACTGAGCGTTACACAACCCACATGTTTAACGTCCTTCAGGTCCAGTGTGTCTGTCACTGCTCTACTCTCCACTGCTCATATATGTCGTTTTGGGAGTTATTGGCAATCAACCAATAATGTTTGTGTGAAAGCTGCTCAGCCGGTTTCTTTCCATTCCAACGGCTGCTTCTCTGGAAACAGTTTAAAGTGAAACTAAAGTTTTCTCCTCACAGTGTTGGCAGATTATCGGGAGAAGGAAAGTGACAACTGGCTGTGAACTGAATGTGTTTTTCAAGTGTTCGTTTAGTGACCAGCAGATTAATGAGGACTTTGTGGTTGTTGTAGTTTTTACAGGAAGATGAAGATGTTTGTGGTTTTTGTGATCCTCGTGCACGGTAAGATAACCTTCCTCCCTCTGATCTGATAATTAGTCCAACATCATGTCTTTAATCTGTATTTCTTTCATCTTCACTTCATTAGTCTGTTTAAACTCCAATAAAAACATGAAGAACATATTAAAGGCAGCATATTTTCAATGTTTGTGTAAATCATGATGAATGTAGAAGACTACAGTCAGACTGTCCTCAGTTCTGTTCTTCAGGATTATATCTCTGGAGGTTGTTCACATTCTTATAGCTTATATTACCAATAGTATTAATGATCCTAACACACTCATTTAAACACCATGTTGGATCAATACAGTCAGTCTATCAGTTTGTTGTGTTATTGCTCCTGTTTGTGAGTCCGATCACAATCAGGAGCAGATTGAGGATCCAGGAGCAATAAGAGCTGAAATAAGGCTGCTGTGATTGAACCTCTCTGTCTGTGTGACCTCACAGTTTCCCAGCATGCCTCAGCTGTGGAGCTGTATGAGGGGGAGGAGTTTGTCCTGCTGCCCTGTGAGTTTCCCACCTTTGAAATGGACGACCCCACAGCGGTGTGGAGCCGCTACGATCTCAATCCTCCAACCGTCCACCAGCGTCAGCAGGAAGGTGATGAACTCAAAGACCAAAACCAGCTTTACAGCGGCCGAACATCCATGATGGCTGACGCTCTGGAAACTGGAGACCTCAGCCTCAATCTGACAAAACTCCACCTCTCTGACAGCGGCAACTACACCTGCACCGTCAGATCATCAGGAGGACAACGGACAGTGAGAGACATACAGCTGCATGTCAAAGGTCAGCAACAAACACTAAAACTCACTGTAGATACAGGTCAGAGGTCAGTACTGTAGATACAGGTCAGAGGTGTGGTATATTAAGTAGCGATGATGTGAAGATGTATTGAAGAGAAGCCCGCTGACACCGTTTTAATTGTATATAAAGGTTTATTACAAAAATGTACAGCATCATTTCAAGCCCCGGGAGCTTGGAGAGCATCCTGCCAAATGAACAGCTCCGTCTATTTTGCATCGAAAATAGGTTTATATAGGCCTGTTGTTTACTCCAAAAATGGAAAGAAACATCTGGATTAGCTATCAGATGTACTGAAATAAGGGGAGATGGGGGTTTTCAAGGCAGAGGTCAGAGGTCATTGAGAGGCCCCTAACCTAAACACTGCCTAGTAAGAATTACGACGTTGAACCTCATGTCTTACTAACACTACATATGGTAACAAAATATCATTTGAACTCATACCAAAATGTAATTTAACTTTATAAGCTTTCAGATACTACAGAGGTCATGCTGGTTATGTTTGTGTTTCCCACAGAACAGCTTCCAACCTGGGCTAAAGCTCTCCTGGTTCTCCTGGTTCCTGTTCTTATTGTTTCTGGGGGTCTTTTGGTGCATTTTCGGCAGTATTTCATGTCAGGTATGTCACTACTACATTACCCATATTGCTGATTACTGTCTTTCTTCTTGTAGCTGTGTCACTATTGGGGCAAAGGTCTGGGATTATAGAAGTAGAATGGTGTGTGTCTGTGCTGTCTTTACAGCTGATGTTGTGGTTTGTTGTTAGGGTTGCTCTGGGTCAAAGGTTGAAAAACATTAGCTTTCTGGCTCGTAGCATAAAGCTAGCTCTCTGGCTCGTACATTTCAGCCATATTAAATACAAACAGTGTCAAAGTCTCTGTCTTAGTCCTGCTGGATCTCAGGCTGCGTTTGACACAGTTGAACACAATATATTACTGGACAGATGGAAAACTATAGGACTCTCTGGCACAGCCATTAACTGGCTGAACTCCTATCAGCAGGAGTTCCCCAAGGGTCCATTCTGGGTCCAGTTCATTCACTATCTATATGCTCCCACTAGTTCTCATTGTGGAAAACAACAGAATATCCCATACTTATACAGACAACACACAGATTTACAATAGAAGCAGATGATGATGGATCCATACAGTCAGTCAATAAATGCATTGAACACATCAGTTACTGGATGTGCCAGAATGTTCTCCAGTTAAATAAAACTACACGATTTATTGTTGTTGTTAAAACAGAATGAGTGAATGTTAGTGCTCATCCTAAAGCTCTAATATTTAAGTCTTCACACAATGTCAGAAATCTTAATGTAGTTCTGGACTCAGACCTAAAAACCAAAACCCACATCAACAGAATCACAAGATCATCGTACTACCACCTTAAGAACACAGCCAGACTTAAAGGTCCAGTGTGTAACATTCAGGAGGATCAATTGTCAGACATTAAATATAATGTTCATAGTTATATTTTCATTAGCGAGCAATCAGCTGAATATAGGAAGTGTTGCGTTGTTGTTACCTTAAGATGAGACGTTTTTAACTACAGGAGAGCGGAGGGCACCATCTTGAACCACCATCTTTCTACAGTAGCCCAGATGAGGCAAACCAAACACTGGCACTAGAAAGGGTGTTTCACGTCTTTGCTAAATTCGCAGCCACTCTAGTTCATCCTACACCTTTTGAAGACACAGTGGGATTAAAATGGTCGCAGACTGCAGCTCCACCACCAGATGCCACTAAATCCTACACACTGAACCAGAGTCTCTGACACTAAGTGGAACACATGAGTCCAGGTCTTAGAGCTCTGCACTGGCTTCCTAAATTATTTCAAAATACTATTATTGACTTCCAAACACTGAATGGTTCAGGAAATATTTAGGTTGAAGATAAAGTGTAAAATATAATATCAGAGAAGCTAAAAGACTAAAAGTTGAAATAAGATGTTTTTGTGTTGAAAGTTCAGATCTTAAAGTGTCAAAGCATACTGGAGCTCCTGTAGCTAATGTGTCCCTGTAGCTAAAAATAACTCCAAATAAGATCAAACTGCTCATTAAGACAAGTGACATTTACTTAAATTCAGTCAAACAGCCTTCCATAGTGAGCACTAGATCATCAGTTCACACTCAAAACAAGTCCCACTAGATTTTAAATCTAAATATCAGATTATCTGACTGACTTAGAAATAGATTTTCTGCAGTGCAGCTGATGTTGTGGTTTGTTGTCCTCTCAGTCTACCAGGTGGAGGTGGGTTCAGGGGAGGAGTCTGTCCTGCTGCCCTGCAAAACCACAGTTCACCTGCCTGAGGACGTCACAGTGGAGTGGACGGACAGTACCACATCCAACAGGAAGGTCCATGTATATCAGAACAGCTCTGATCAGCCTGAAGAACAGGGCCAGGATTACAGAGACCGAACAGAGATGAAGAGAAACCTGCTGGAACCTGGAGACCTCAGTCTGACCCTGAAATACCCCACAGACACAGACAGTGAGACCTTCACCTGCACCGTCTACAGCAGGGAGCGAAAGATCCTGATGAAGAAACAAGTGAAGCTCGAGGTCAAAGGTCAGTGCTGTAGATACAGGTCAAAGGTCAGTGCTGTAGATCCAGGTCAAATGTCATTGTTATAGATACAGGTCAAAGGTCAGTGCTTTGAATATTTAGTATCATTATTATATTGTGATAAAAAGTCAAGTCATTGTGATGAATATCAAAGGTTTCCATCAGAAGCTCATTAGAAGGTAAATGTCATAATAATTAATTATAATAAATAATAAAACACACAATATGAAAGCTAACTTTGTGTTTGTTTAAGGCCAATTAAAGCTGTGTGTGTGTGTGTGTGTGTGTGTGTGTGTGTGTGTGTGTGTGTGTGAGTGATCTTAAACAGGAAGTGACCATCTGGATAAAAGTTGAGGTTAAATCCTCCAGAATGGTCCCAGTGGTCCCAACAGTAGAAATGATGTGAGTGAATGTGTTGCTACAGAAACAATGAGACATTTGTTTGATCAGTGATGTTGAACCTGTGTTTGAAATGCTGTGTGGAACTAAGATTCATTCACTGTTACATTTAATAATAATAATAATAATAATACATTTTATTTATAAGCGCTTTTCTAAATACTCAAAGACACTTTACATAAAAAAAATAAAATAAAAAATAGAATAAACATAAAAGCAGCCAAACAACATCAAATAGTAAAACATTAAAAACACATCAGACTTAGCTAAACATTAAAAGCAATTTTAAAAAGGTGAGTTTTTGTCAGTGATTTGAATGTTGGAAGGTCGGTACAGTCACGGATGGGTTTGGGGAGAGAGTTCCAGAGGGAGGGGGCAGCTACAGAGAACGCTCTGTCGCCCCAGGTTCGGTGCTTGGTCCGGGGGTGGAGGAGTCAGGAGGTTTGCTTCAGATGAGCGGAGGCTGCGGGATGGATTGTGGCGATGGAGCAGGTCAGTCAGGTAGGAAGGAGCCTGGTTATGGAGGGCTTTGTGTGTAAGGAGGAGGATTTTGAACTGAATGCGCTGTGGAACTGGGAGCCAGTGGAGGGTCTGGAGGACGGGAGTGATGTGATCACGGGTGCGGGTGTGGGTGAGCATACGTGCAGCGGAGTTTTGGATGTATTGTAGCTTATTTAGAGTTTTGGATGGTGTGCCATAGAGGATGCTGTTGCAGTAGTCGATTCTGGAGGTGATGAAGGCGTGGATGAGGGTTTCAGCAGCAGAGAAGGAGAGTGATGGGCGAAGACGGGCAATGTTCTTGAGATGAAAGAAGGCAGTTCTCGTGATTAGGTTTATGTGATGTTCAAAGGAGAGGTTAGTGTCAAAGATGACTCCGAGGTTGCGACTGTGGGGGGATGGAGACAGGGTGGAGTTGTCAATGGTGAGGTGGAAACTGTCTGTGGTTTTGGTGAGGGATTTGGGGCCGATAATGATAAGGTCTGATTTGTCACAGTTGAGTTTGAGAAAGTTGGAATGCATCCAGGATTTGATGTCGGTGAGGCAGTTGGAGAGAGTCGAGTGAGTGCCCGGGGTGATGGATTTGGTGGAGATATAAAGCTGGACGTCATCGGCATAACAGTGGAAGTGGAGACCATGGTGGCGAATGATGTTGCCAATGGGGAGCAGGTAGAGTATGAAGAGGAGAGGACCAAGCACCGAACCCTGGGGGACGCCTTGGGACAGGGGAGCAGTGGAGGAGGTGCAGTTGTTGACATGGATGAATTGTTGTCGGTCTGTGAGGTAAGATTTTAGCCAGGAAAGTGCAGTGCCAGTGATGCTGAGAGAGGACTCAAGACGGGAGAGGAGAATGGTATGGTTGATGGTGTCAAAGGCTGCAGTGAGGTCCAGGAGGATAAGGATGGTGAGGTGGCCGGAGTCAGCGGAGAGGAGGATGTCGTTGGTGACTTTCAGGAGGGCTGTTTCGGTGCTGTGTTGGGAGCGAAAACCGGATTGAAATGGTTCGAACAGTTCATTTGAGCAGAGGTGGGTTTTGAGTTGTGTGGCGACAATACGTTCCAGTATTTTGGACAGAAAAGGAAGATTGGAGATGGGCCGAAAGTTAGACATGATGTCGGGGTTGAGTCCAGGTTTTTTGAGGATGGGGGTGACAGCAGCCAATTTGAGTGAGCGGGGGACTGAGCCGGACTTGAGAGAGGAGTTGATGATTTCTGTGATGAGTGTGGAGATGGCTGGTAAAGAGTCCTTGATGAGGTGAGATGGGATAGGATCCAGGACACATGTAGTGGTTTTCATGCCTGTCATGATTTTGGGCAGCTCCCCTGGTGACACGGGGCAGAACTGAGACAGAGGCTGAGAGGCGAAGGGGGGGGGAGCAGATGAAGGAGTGGGATTGCAGGCTGTGGGGGCAGGAGCGGAGGACAGATTGTTATAAATGGTGTCGATTTTTGATTGAAAGAATGAAAGAAAGGAGTTGCATTTGTCAGTGGTGAATGACTTGGAGGTATTGTCGCTGGGCTTGAGGAGTTTATTTACTGTAGAAAACAGAGCCTTGGGGTTGGTGGAGCCAGCGTGAATGAGGTGAGAGTAGTAGGTGGACCGGGTGGTGTTGAGGGCATCCTTGTACTGCAGGAGGTAGTCTGTAAAAGTTTGGAGATGAACAGTTAAACCGGTTTTCTTGTAAAGTCTTTCAAGTTGTCGTTTGCGTGTTTTCATTTTGTGCAGTTCAGGAGTGTACCAGGGGGCAGAGTGGGTGAATGAGACGGTTTTGGTTTTGATGGGGGCCAGCTGATTGAGACAGGAGGAGAGTGTTTCGTTGTAGAACTTGGTGAGGTCAGAGGGGTTGTCAGTCAGCGGTGGGGGGGAGGAAGATATTTTACTTGCAAGAGAGGTAGTAAGAGCTGAAGGGGAGATGGATTTGAGGTTTCTGAAAGATATTGTCCGTTTATCCTTAATGGTGGGAATGGGGATGTCAATGTCCGTGATGATTGCCAGGTGGTCGGAGATGTTGAGGTTGAAGCTGGAGAGGTGAAGTAAGGTGAGACCAGTGGAGCAGACCAGATCCAGGATGTGACCACGGCTGTGGGTGGGAAAGTTGACGTGTTGGGTGAAGTTGAAGCAGTGTAGTAGTTCCAGGAATTCAGTGGCAGATTTGCAGTCATTGTCAATGTGGATGTTGAAATCTCCCAGAAGAAGAACGGAAGGTGAGATGGCAGATAACTGAGTTAGAAAGTCAGAGAAGTCGGTGATAAAGGAGGGGTTTGGTTTGGGGGGGCGGTAGATGATGGCAGTGACCAGAGGAGTGGGACCAGAGAGTTTGAAAGTGAGGTGTTCAAAGGAGTGAGCAGCAGGGATGGAGATGGTGGATGTTTTGATGTCCTCCCTGTAGATTGCTGCTACACCACCTCCCCGCCCCTCAGGTCGGGGTTTGTCAATGTAAGTGTATCCGGTGGGTGTGGTCTGGTTGAGCAAAAAGTAGTCCAGAGGTTTGTGCCAGGTTTCAGTGATACAGAGGAAATCCAGGTTATTGTCACTTATGAATTCATTCAGAATGAGACTTTTATTGTTAAGTGAGCGGGTGTTGAGCAAAGCCAGTTTCAGGTGACGTTGCTTCGTGAAAGTTTGAGAGGACCGAGGAAGGGGGCGGAGATTAGATAGGTGCACATGTCGTTTGTTATGATGACGTAATGAGGAAGTTGCGGTGCGTGAGCAGGACCAGATGGATGGGATAGAGTTAGGAGTTGAACAGTTGTAGATGAACATACGACCAGAGCCTCTGTGTGGAGGACGGCGAAGTAGTCCAGTTTCACGGAGGATGTCGGTGCAGTCCGGGCGTTGATGGTTGTTGAGTGAGTGGAGGACGGAGGTGGAGTACAGCGGCGGCATGATCCAGGTGTGGAGCGCTAGCACGGAGCTAGTGCTAGCTTGTGACCATGAGCCAGGTGTCTGTGGACGGAGCCGTATCGAGTACTCCAGAAGAATCCACAGGGTGATCCACAGCATAACCGCAGCAGGCGATCTGTGGTCCGATGATGAGGCGATGAGGAGAGTGGCCCCCGGCCTGCTAGCCTAGAGGACCCGGTGATGATAGGAGGTCGTCAGCTCGATGCGGTGGTGGCCAGCGGAGGAAGCCAGCCGAAGCCCGACAGAACCGACCACACCGGGACGGAAAGATCCCGGGAGGACGGGATAATCCGATGAGGAGGAGAGGGGCCGCCGGCCTGCTAGCCAGGGGGTCCAGGTAGGGAGAGGACGTTGTCAGCCTGATGCGGTGGTGGCCAGCGGAGGAAGCCAAAGCCAAAGCCCAGTAAAGCCGACCACACCGGGATGGAAAGATCCTGGCAGGACGGGCAGGTGGGCTCGAGCTGGCAGAGAAGATGGCAGGGAAAGACCGCAGGAATGGCCACCCCGAAGGCAGGGCGATGAGGCTATGCCGAAGTCCCGGGGATCCTGTAGCTAGCAGGAGCTAGCAGGACGGTGGGAGGACTTCACAGGTACGAAGCAGATAGATAGCAGTGAATCTGTTTGCTCTCCAATTTCAGAGGACTGCCAAACCAGACTATCTGGTGTGGTGAGGCGTAGGTCAAGAGACAAAAACTTTATCATAAACTATTGTCGGAGACGGAGCGGCAGCCAAGGTGCGCCAGCATCCGCCATCTTCAGAGCCAAAGAATTACACTGAAGAATTCTCTAAGAGCCAAACAGACAGCAGTTCAACACTGAGATGAGACATTACTGTGAAGCAGCACATGGACAGAAAATCACAACATGTCCAACAGCTTGAAAACCTGCTTTTAGTTCCTATATTTCTGTCCCCTGTTACCTGCTGCTCTCATCTGGTTCTGTCCTTCAGGGTTCTCTACAACTTTGTAATCAGTCAATAAAGTTATTACAAACTGCTGCTGCTGTCTGTACAGCTGATGTTGGGGTTCGTTGTTCTCTCAGTCTGTCAGGTGGAGGTGGAGGAGGGGGCGGAGTCTGTCCAACTGCCCTTCAAGACCACAGCTAACCTGCCTAAGGACGTCACAGTGAGGTGGACCTGCTCTGAACGAGAGTACATGATAGTGCATGTGTACAGTTCTGACCAGCCTGCAGAACAGAACCAGTATTACAGAGACCGAACTAAGATGAATGAAGACCTGCTGGAAACTGGAGACCTCAGTCTGACCCTGAAATCCCCCAAAGAGAGAGACAAAGGAAGATACCGCTGCATCGTCTATAACGTGGAGGGATACTTCCTGAGAGGAAAAGCATTTGAGCTCGAAGTCAGAGGTCAGTACTGTAGATACAGGTCAAAGGTCAGTGCTTGGAATATTGTATCATTATTATATTGTGATATAAAGTCCAGTCATTGTGATCAACATGAAATGGCTCATTAGAAGGTAAATGTCCTTTCAAAGTTCAATTCAATTTCAATTCAATTTTATTTGTATAGCGCCAATTCATAACAGAAGTTATCTCAGGACACTTTTCAAATAGAGCAGGTCTAGACCGAACTCTTTATAACATTATTTACAGAGACCCAACAGTACCACCATGAGCAAGACCTTGACGACAATGGCAAGGAAAAACTGCCTGTTAAAAGGCAGAAACCTAGGACAGATCCTCCGGCTCTAGGTGGGTGGTCGTCTGCCTCGATCAGTTGGGGTGAGAGAGAGAGAGAGAGAGAGAGAGAGACAGACAGACAGACAGACAGACAGACAGACAGACAGACAGACAGACAAGTGCACAGCAACAACAGTATTGGCAATGGCAATCTAGCAGGACCATGGCAGGAGGCTCCACCAGGATCGACAAGAACCTGCAAGACGAGAAAGCACAAGAACTCCGAGACTATAGGAACCACAAGTAGCCCAGCATTCAGAGAACGTAGTGTTCTAGTGGGGTAATAGGGTACTATGAGCTCTTTAAGATATGAAGGGGCCTGACCATGAAGAGCTTTATAGGTGAGGAGGAGGATTTTAAATTCTATTCTACATTTTACAGGGAGCCAATGCAGAGAAGCTAGTACAGGAGAGATGTGATCTCTTTTTCTAGATCCTGTCAGTACTCGTGCTGCAGTGTTCTGAATTAATTGGAGCGTTTTAATGGACTTATTGGGGCAACCTGATAATAAAGAGTTGCAGTAATCCAGCCTTGAAGTAACAAATGCATGGATTAGTTTTTCTGCATCTGTCTGTGATAGGATGTGTCTAATTTTTCTAATATTACGTAAATGAAAGAAGGCGGTCCTAGAGGTCTGCTTTATGTGGGAGTTAAATGACAAATCCTGATCAAAGATAACTCCAAGATTCCTGACAGTGGTGCTAGAGGCCAAGTTAATGCCATCTAGACTAACTATATCTTTAGACAGTGTGTCTCTAAGGTTTTTAGGGCTAATAATAAGAATTTAGTTTTTTTCTGAGTTTAACATCAGAAAATTGCAGCTCATCCAGGATTTTATGTCCTTAAGACATGTTTGTAATTTAGATAATTGATTAATTTCATTGGGTTTGATTGATAGATATAACTGTGTATCATCTGCATAACAGTGAAAGTTAATGCAGTGATTCCTAATAATGTTGCCTAAAGGGAGCATATATAAAGTAAATAGTATTGGTCCAAGTACAGAACCTTGTGGAACTCCATGACTAACAGTAGTATTTATTGAAGATTCATCGTTAACATGTACAAACTGCGAGCAATCTGATAAATATGACTTAAACCAGCTTAGTGCGGTTCCTTTAATGCCAATTTGATGCTCAAGTCTCTGTAAAAGAATATTATGGTCAATGGTGTCAAATGCAGCACTAAGATCTAATAATACAAGTACAGAGACAAGTCCATTGTTAGAAGCAATCAGAAGGTCATTATTAACTTTAACCAGAGCTGTCTCTGTGCTATGATGAACTCTAAATCCTGACTGAAAATCCTCAAATAAACTATTGTTATGTAGAAAGTCACACAACTCTTTGGCGACTACTTTCTCCAGAATCTTAGAGAGGAAGGGGAGGTTAGAAATCGGTCTATAGTTGGCTAAAACTCCTGGGTCAAGAGTGGACTTTTTAAGAAGGGGGTCACAGGAAGATACGGCTGCAACGTCGACAGCAGGGGAAACTTACTAAGAGCGAAAACAGTGGAGCTCACAGTCAGAGGTCAGTACTGTAGATACAGGTCAGAGGTCAGTACTGTAGATACAGGTCAAAGGTCAGATGTCTCTGTGTCTGTCTGGGTCTGACTGTCCTCTGTCTCCTCTGCAGGGAGAACCAGGAACAGAAGCAGTTCCATTGATCCAACTCCTCTGATGGCTGATCAATCTGTTTGATTGATCTTGTTGAAGGGGCTAAAAGGAAGAGAATGTCAACGTTCAGCTGTCAGTGTTTCCTCTACTCATCCTCTGAATGAACCTGCAGTCCATACTGTGATTGATTGATTGACTGACTGATTGATTGATTGATTGATTGATTGATTGGTTGGTCTCATGTAGCTCTATAATGTTTCTCTGATGTTTGTGTATTCAGCTTCTATACATATATATCTGGCTGTGTCTCATGAGGTAGAGCGGGTCGTCCACTGATCAGAAGGTCACTGGTTCGATCCCCGGCTCCTCCCGCTGCATGTCGAAGTGTCCTTGAGCAAAATACTGAACCCCAAACTGCTCCTGATGCTGAATCACTGTATGAGTGAGTGAATGTGTGAATGTGGCTGTAAATGGCTTTGAGGGGTCAGAATTTATACCTCCTCATCTCCTCCTTCCTCCTGCCTGTGACTGGAAATCCATCAGGAGGAGAGAGGCATCATGGGGGATGAAGTGAAGACCCTCCCCACCAGTATCAGTCTGTAGTATGAGAAACTTTGTTTTATATTTTTATATGATAAATCAGCTCCTTGTTGTTTATGAAGATGATTTATGCTGCTGTCTATTCCTGTTCCTGTAGATGGAACTGGTCTCTTTGTGTTCACACTGCAGTTTAACAATACAAATGATTTTCATCCTCAAATGTGTCCGTCTGTCTTTTATGTCCATAGATATTAAACATCTCTGTATTGTCTTTTAAAGATGGAAAACCATTATAAATGGTTGTGGTTGTGGCTAAGCCATTTGCACAATTGCATACATGAATTTCTGCCACGTTTGAATTTTGTGCAAATTTCCATGACTTTTTAAGCTAGTGCGACCGCCAAATATGCAGTCAAAGAGGCAGAAAATAATAAGAATTCTTTCAATTATCAGTGCTCGGACCCTAATAGAGGCTCAGCTTTAGTGAAACGTGATTTGTTATTATGTTTCTGTAACAAAGAAGGCTCACATTTGGTGGATGTTCGTAAGTTTCAAACTTGAAATGGTATTAACATAAAGGGCTGTCCAAAAGATAAGATAGACCCACTGGGGAAATTCACAAAAAAGAGTCAAAAGGAGTAATAAGTATTTTAATATCTAAAAAGGGAAGAAAAATTAAAAAACCAGGAAAAAATGAGTAATAAAGTGGTCAGCAGTAGGATCCTGTATTTTCAGTTTTAATTAATAGACTTGACATCAGACTTTGACTAGCCTTTTAAAGTGGCTCAGTCCCAAAATACTCGCTGTCCACCTTTCACAAGCACTGGATGTCAATCAGTTTTCAATAAACAAGCTCAGTTTGCAATTCTTCTCAATAATTGTCTGTTAATTCTCAGTAAATAAAAAAAGAGTCATCTTGTATTGTACAGAATGACACAAGTCCCCTCTTAGATAGCATAGAACGACATTCACACTCCAGCATGGATGAATTAGAGAAACAAACATATATATGTTATATTTTAAATTGTATTTGTAACAAAACAATAAGGCTCAACTAATGTGGATTTCCTAACTAGTCTGTAGCATCAGATTGTATTAGACTGAAGGGCTATCCAGAAGGCAGGGCAGTAATAAGTAGTAAAGTTTAAAGTAATTTAAAAAGAAAAAAAACTGGATAAAATCAGGAATTAAATGAGCAGCAACATGATCCTTTCTTTTTAGTTTTAATAAAAAGTCCCCACTTGTATAGAATGACAGGAGTCCCCTGTTGGCTGGTACATAATGACACGAGTTCCCTCTTAGATAGCACAGAACAACCTTCACACTCCAGCATGGGTGAATAAAAAAGAAATAATCTAAATTAGATATAGGTAAAACACAAACATTTCCAGGTGTTTCCACAAAATTAAACTCTTATTAGATCAGAAATATCACACAGGTTCCCAACTCTCCTCAACATCGTGGTAACCGTGGCAACAGAGACTAGCAGTCAGCAGTGTTCCTGTATCTTTATTGGAAAGTGGAATCAGATCATCTTCACTAATGACAGTAACACACACACACACACACACACACACACACACACACACACACACACACACAAAACATGATGGAGGGACGATGAAAAGAATCATGGGAATTGTAGGAATAAAAAAAGGGTTTTAAAAAAAAAAACATCCTGCGGTTTTAAAAGAAGTCGAGGTCATCGGGAGCGTCGAGGTCTCTGTACTCGATGATCGACCGGGGGTCCCCTCGCACGCCCCTGCACACACACACAGAGAGAGAGAGAGAGAGCTTTAATATGATCAATATATAATCAATAAATATCTGATCAGTTCTGTTGGTTCTCTTCTTCACCTGCTGTTTCGTTGCTTTCCAGGAAACCCTCCTCCTCCTCCTCCCCCTCCTCCTCCTCCTAAATGACCTCTGAAGTTGTCATAGTTACCACGACCCCCCCCGAACTGGTTGGGAGGGTAGGGGGGTCCGCCACCTGCAACACACACACAGAAACACACACTGTTACACACTGTAACTGACTGCAGTGGTGATGTGTTTGAGTGTAACATCAGAGTGTGGGAGACCAGATCAACAGTGTGTGTGTGTGTGTGTGTGTGTGTGTGTGTGTGTGTGTGTGTGTGTGTGTGTGTGTGTGTGTGTGTGTTGTACCGGGGAAGCCAGGCATCGGAGGTCTGACTCCAGGTGGATATCCCAGAAGGCTTTGCTGCTGTGGTGACTGACCAGGAAATCCTGGCATACCAGGGGGAGTGGCTAAAAGAGAGAGAGAACGTCAGTCTGGTGTCCTACATTTCCCAGAATGCCTTTCAACAGGACACATATCAGCTGGTTGTTTGATGCTGTGTGTGTGTGTGTGCACACCTTGTGCTGGCGGTGGGAGGGGCTTGTTCTCAGGTAGAGCCGGTCTCTTGGCGTCCAGCAGGAAGTTGTTGAAGAAGACGACTTCCTGTCTGACGGCCGACACTTTGTCCCCGTGTTTGTTCAGGATGTGTTTACGCACAAACTCTGGGGCCTAAACAACAACAACAACAACAACAACAAGTGTTACCACGGTAACCTCTCAGGTAATGACACACAGACAGGAAGTTGGACTCACCTTGAACTTCTTCCCGCTCAGAGGACAGAGCCACTTGTCTTTACTGAGCTCCTGAGTGTTGGCTGACAGGAACTTCTCCACCTGGACACACAGACAGGTGTTACAGTCAGACAGACAGGACAGGTGGTGTACACACAGGCAGACAGACAGGTGTAGGTGTGTCTCACCTCTTGTTCGGGCTCTTTCTTTCCCAGCCTGGCGGCGTCTTCTTCACTCAGAGTCTCTGAAGGAGACAGCAGAGGAGCCAGACGCTCCTCACACATCTTCTGATGTTCGCTCACTGTCCAATCAGAGCACAGCGCCGGATTACACACACTGACATCATCAACACACCTGTCAATCTGTACATATGAACGACGTCTGTGTCCGTCAGTGTGTGTGTGTGTGTGTGTGTGTGTGTGTGTGTGTGTGTGTGTGTGTGTGTGTGCATGTGTGCGTACCCTCGGCTGCAGTGATCTTGGCGACAGGAAGTGGTCCTCGTACGTGGATGAGGCCGCAGCGATGAGGCATCTCGTCCTCGGCGGGATACTCACAGAAGTTGTAATAATCTACAGAGTGAACCAGACGCAGGTAGAGCAGCAGTCTGTCCAGCACCTGCACACAGACAGACACACAGACACAGACAGACACACAGACAGACAGACACACAGACACACACAGACGCACACACACACGATCAATCCCTGATACACAAACCATAATAGTCTGACACACAGACAGGCAGACGGAGCTCCTCCCACCTTCAGCAGCTTCTCGTCCGTCTCCACGGTAACCTCAGAGGAGGAGGCGGGGTCTTTGGCGTCGCCACTATCTCCGCCCCCCGAGGCGCCTGTGAGCTCCTCCTCCTCAGCGCTCACCTCCTCTATGAGGTAATCAGTGATGTTCTTCAGCACGGGGTTGGTCTCCATCTGACACACACACACACACACACACACACACACACACACACTCTTTTACCATTTCATTTACAACATGTGGACGATGACTTCAGTATCAGTAACAGTGTTTCTCCACTCTGGGTTTTACTGGCGCTGTCAGTGGACCGTACCTGTCCGACCCACAGCTCCCCCTTCTGGTCCAGACTGTGGACGAGTCGCGCCGACAGACGGATGTCGTTCCTCACCACCGGTTTGTGGTGAGTCAGACCGTTAACGGTGCGAACCCGTCGACACAGATCTCTGTTGACCACCGGAGCCAGTTCACAGTCTCTGAGCTGAGAGAGAGAGAGAGAGAGAGAGAGAGTGAGTGTGAGAGTGTGTGTGTGTCTCTGTGAGTGTGTGTGTGTGTGTGTGTGTGTGTGTGTGTGTGTGTGTGTGTGTGTGTGTGTACCCTGATGTTCTGCAGGTTCCAGCAGGTCTCCTTTATGTTCACACTGCGGTCAAACGTCACCCAGCAGCGCCTGAAGAACCTGAAGCAGACAAACACATTTAGTAAGTAAGTAAATTTACTTTATAAAGCATAAAGTGACCAAAGTGCAGTGGATAACTAAAAAGACAAATAATAGAGAAAAACCCACTGGACCAATAGTCAATAATTCTATAAAACATGAATAAAAGGAAAGCTTCAATATCAGAGCACACAGCACAGAACACACAGGATGAGCAGGAGTACAGGGGGAGGGAACAAGGAAGGCCAGGGAGGTTTTTAGCCTGGATTTAAAGGCAGAAGTGGAGGGGGCAGATCTAACATCCAGGGGGAGCTGGTTCCACTGAGGTGGAGCAGCAACAGCTCTACCACCCCTCTGTTTGAGCTGTGAGCGGGCTACATGCAGAAGCCCTTAATTAGAGGATCTCAGGGAGCTTTGAACAGAGTAGGGCTGTACATTAATATCCTTTATAGATACACACACTCTTTACTGTATCTGAGTGTTTATGATGAAGGTTATATTAACGGAGCTGTAGAGAGACACCCAGTGGCAGTGAACACACTCACCTCCTCTCTGGCTGAGGGTCCGACAGCGCCACCCGCAGGAAGCCCGGGTACCTGCGACACAACTGCACACACAAAGCATGTCAGAACAGGTGTGTGTGTGTGTGTGTGTGTGTGTGTGTGTGTGTGTGTGTGTGTGTGTGCACTCACAGCAGTGATCTCCTCCTTCGATACCTCTGGCGGGATGCTTCGGATGAAGAGGGATGTGGTGAGATGGAGGGGGCGGGGCTTCGCTGGCGCTTCCTCTCTCTCCTTCCCTCGCTCTTTACGGCGCTCTGACACACAAAAAGTATGTTTACATACAAACAACAACAATAAGTATGTTTACATACAAACAACAACAATAAGTATGTTTACGCCCCACACACACACACACACACCTCTGTCACTCGTACCGTCCTCTCTGTCCTCCTCCTCTTCCTCCTTCTCCTCGTCCTCCTCCTTCTCTCCGTCGGAGTGGGAGGAGTCAGAGTCGGAGGCGCTGCCCTCGCCGCTGTCAGCCGACACGCTGCGTTTCCTCTTCCTGCCCTGAGAGGAGAAATGGGGGCGGGGTTAAGACCATCGTCAGTGAGTTGGCATTAACCAATCAGAGAACAGCACTCACTTTCTTGGTTGTCTTCTCTTCCTCTTCCTCCTCCTCCTCATCCTCTTCGTCCTTCTTCTCCTCCTCGTCCTCGTCTTTCTCCTCTCCGTTCTGCTTGGATTCCTCCTCGCCGTCCTGAGAGGGAAAGAAAACATGTTTGTTTGTTTGTTGTCTGAACTCAAACAAACAACGACGCCTCACACACACTCACACACACACACACACACACACACACACACACACACAGACACACACTCTCTCACACACACACACACACACACTCACACTCTCTCTCACACTCTCTCTCACAGACACACACACACTCACACTCTCTCACACTCTCTCTCACAGACACACACACACTCACACTCTCTCACACACACACACACACACTCACACTCTCTCACACACACACACACTCACACACACACACACACACACACACACACACACACACACACACACACAGTAGGAACTTACTGATCTTCTGACCTCCTCAGACTCTTTGGTCTCCCCCGGCTCTCCACCACTCGTCTCCTCCGTCCGACTCCCCGTCGACTCCGAGCCAGTCGGACCGGCTCCTCCGCTGAGATCTCCCTGACTCCTCTCCCCGCCGCCACCGCCTCCTCCTCCTCCTCCTCCTCCTCCGCCGCCGCCTCCTCCTCCGCCGCCGCCTCCTCCTCCTCCTCCGCCTCCTCCTCCTCCTCCGCTGCAGCTCGCCTCCCCGCCGGCCGCTGCGGGAGCAGACGGTACCTCCAGGACCTGCAGGTCGAAGTCAGTTCCTCCTTCCATCTTTATCACCGCTGCAGAGACAGAGTGAGGACTTCATTACCCAGAATCCCCTTTGCAAGGTGCCAGCAGCAATGTGGGAGGAGTCTGTGCGTACCTGCGTCCAGTAGTTTGATGATGGCGGGGGCGTGCTCCATGTCCAGAGACATGTTCTCCAGCCAGTTGTTGTCCAGCAGGAAGAGGAAGACGCCCAGCCGGGTCTTGAGGGCGGCGAGGGACTCGGTCTTCCTCGCCGTGATGTCGTCGGGATGGTACTTGGACCGGAACCACTCCTGGTCTTTGTGCTGGAGGAAGAAGTCCTGAAGCTGCTGGCGCCTGAAGTCCAGTTTGTACTGATTGTAGCGCTTCACCGACTCCGTCTCGTCCACGCTGTCCTCCATGTTCAACAGGAACTCCTGCACACACACACACACACAGTTACACACAGTTACACACACACAGACACACACAGAGACAGAGACACACACAGAGACACACAGTCACACACAGAGACACACAGTCACACACAGAGACACACAGAGAGACACACACAGAGACACACAGTTACACACAGAGACAGAGACACACACAGAGACACACACAGTCACACAGTTACACACAGAGACAGAGACACACACAGAGACACACACAGTCACACAGAGACACACACAGACACACACAGAGACACACACAGACACACACAGACACACACAGAGACACACACACAGTCACACACAGAGACACACAGTCACACACAGTCACACACAGAGACACACACAGAGACACACACAGAGACACACAGACACACACAGACACACACAGAGACACACACAGTCACACACAGAGACACACAGTCACACACAGAGACACACAGTCACACACAGAGACACACACAGAGACACACAGAGACACACAGTCACACACAGAGACACACACAGAGACACACAGAGACACAGTTACACACAGAGACACACACAGAGACACACAGACACACACAGAGACACACACAGACACACACACAGACACACACAGACACACACACACACACAGAGACACACAGTTACACACAGAGACACACACAGTCACACACAGAGACACACACAGTCACACACACAGAGACACACACAGACACACACAGTTACACACAGAGACACACACAGAGACAGAGACACACAGAGACACACACAGAGACACACACAGAGACACACAGTCACACACACAGACACACACACAGAGACACACACAGAGACACACACAGTTACACACAGAGACACACAGAGACACACAGTCACACACACACAGAGACACACAGTCACACACAGAGACACACACACAGTTACACACAGAGACACACACAGTGACACACAGACACACACAGAGACACACACAGAGACACACACAGTCACACACAGAGACACACAGTTACACACACACAGTTACACACAGAGACACACACACGCAGTCACACACAGAGACACACACAGTTACACACAGTCACACACACAGTTACACAGTTACACACAGAGACACACAAACACACAGT